CAGAGACCTGTTAGCCACCCATGGCTTGCCAACTGACCCAGAGGCAGCGATTCCTGAGGTGGGCCCAGCTGGGACTCCTGCTGGGGTGGGATGACAGAGCCTGGGTTCTGCCTCTTAGCCTTAATCTTTCGACATCTCTCTGAGTTCCTTCTTAGGCCCTTCGCCTACAAGCATGCTGTTGTAGTCAGCCTGCACTGGTTTTAGCATGTGAACAACCGGCAGACAATGGCTGCCCCGAGAAGGGGTAGGGATGATGATGTGCATAGCAACAACCTTGTAGGCGGTTGCTTGGTGCACACCGGACTTCACCTGTCTTGGCCTAGTGGGGGTGGGGTTGGGGGCGTCTCACACGAAGGAGCTAATATCAGCAATGAGACCTCTGGCCTCCTATTTGGAACCCAAACAGCTACATCTGCTGGCCAGGATATAGGTGGCCCTCAGGATTGGCTAAGTGACCATCTGTGCTAGCTGAGACCGTCTTACAGGCAGGCCCCTTGGATGTGGGCTTTGGCTGGAGGGGGTGGCCTCAGGAGGGATTGTGCCCCAGCTCCATGCTGACCGCCTGGTCTTGGGGGCGTTAGCAAGAAGTGTGGGTACCGAGCTTCCCTACCCCTGCCTTACTGTGTTCTTTTCCATCAGGTCTGACAAACCATGGACAGACCAGGCACATGGTAAGAGTGGGCGACTAGAGACTTGGCATACTTTTGTGTGTACACACATTTCTCGAGTGTTGGGGAGGTAGCCCTTATACCCCAACCAGTGCCATGGAGAGAATCTGGGAGTCTTGGCTAGACCTAACAGGTAGTTTAGGCCCAATACATACAGGCCTCCCTACCTGGGCTGGGTGTATTGGCTCTGGAGCCCCAAGGCCTGGCTGCCCAGGAAGCCCTGTCTCCCTGTGTTCAAACCTACCTCTCATTTATTACAGGGACCAAGTCGGAATCTCCTGCTCAATGGGAAGTCCTACCCCACCAAAGTGCGCCTAATCCGTGGTGGCTCCCTGCCTCCCGTCAAGCGGCGGCGAATGAACTGGATTGACGCCCCAGATGATGTATTTTACATGGCCACTGAGGAGACCAGGTTGGATGGAGCCTTTCCTGGGACGGGACGGGAGTCTGCAGCTGCCACCTTCTGGGTTTTATTGGCTCATCTCTTCCCACAGGAAAATCCGCAAGCTGCTCTCATCCTCAGAAACCAAGCGTGCTGCCCGCAGGCCCTACAAGCCCATCGCCCTGCGCCAGAGCCAGGCCTTGCCGCTTCGGCCACCCCCGCCTGCACCAGTCAACGATGAGCCCATTGTTATTGAGGACTAGGTGGCCACCCGCAGTGTGGCCTGCCTGGGCCCCTCCATCAGCCCCAGAGTATCCAGTGAGGCCTGCAGAGGCTAAGTGGCCTCCCCCCCCCCACCAGACTGCTGCCCACCCCACCCTCTGTTTCCGTAGTGCCCCAACTCCCGCCCTCACATGCAGAGAAACTGCTCCTCTGGTGGACATGCGGGGGAAGAAGTGTGGTCTAACTTATTCCAGGACACCGAGGAGTCTTTTTTAGCTTTGTGTTTACTTTCTGGCTGGAGCAGAGATGAGGAATGCCCTGGGCCCTGTGCTACAGGGCTTCTCACCCGGGGTGGGCTCTAAGGTTTTGTTGTGTTCTGTTGAAGGTGCCATTTTAAATTTTATTTTTATTACTTTTTTTGTAGATGAACTTGAGCTCTGTAACTTACACCTGGAATGTTAGGATTGGTGCGGCCAGCGGTGGCCAAGCTGCCTGGCGGGGTTGGTCCCTTGTCTTTTCAAGTAATTTTCATATTAAACAAAAACAAAGAAAAAAAAAATCTCATAAAAAGGAAAACCCCAGCACGCCCTTCCGCGTCTTCTGTCCCCAGTCCCTCCCCTGGTTTAGGGCCTTGAAGCCACCCTACCCCCAACTCCTGGGATATCCCTCGACGGGTACATGGCTGGGCCCAAAAAGATGAGCAGTAGCCACATGGCAGGCTAGATGCTGGCCAGCTCAGTGCCGGGGGCAGGACGCCACCCTGAGAGCTCTTTCTGCAGGCCTTTGGCCCGGTGCCCAGTGCCCTTCCCGGAGGGGCGGACAGGGGCGGGCGGCCGCGGTGAGGACCTCCACTTCAGATGAAGCTGTGCTACAACTGTCTGACATGCCACAACGGGAGTTGACCGTGCCCACGGCTCCACAACTTTCAGGGTCTACCTAGGTTGACTTGGCATAAGGGCTTCAGCTCCCGGGCCACCCCCTTGCTGGACCAATCCCAGCTGTCAGGCCTCCTGCGCTAAAGCCACGCCCCCAGCAGGCTCTTCTCAAGCATTTGCTCCTATTTCGCTCAGAAATCTTATCTCCGCCTGTGCCTATCCTTGCTGGCCTAGAGACAGGTGCGGGCATGGCCAGCTACCGGAGGAGGGAGGGCTGGCTCAACAAGCCATCACCCCTGAGGCTGCGGCCCCCCAGCTAGCCAACAAAAGGGTCAGCCAGCCCCTCCCTGGGAACAGTGGGGAGTCTTGGCCTCTGCTTCTGCCCTGTGGAAATCTCAGACGGGGGATTAAAATAGAAACCACTTATATTCCCACTCTGGGTATAGATAAGGGGGTATCTTGGCTTTCCTGAGCCTGTGATGGGGCTTATCAGGGTGACAGGCCGGGTGTCTGGGACAGGGCTGTGACATATACCCCATCTTGGTAGGGTCATTGAGCACCGCACCCTCCCCTCCCCCAGCCCGGTTGATCCTGGTCTCCGCTTTGCCCTGTTGCTCTAGGACTGCCCTGTCTTCAAGGGCCTCCCCTGAGTCGGTTTCCCACGTGGGGGTCTGCAGAGGGGGCATGGTTCCCTTACCCTTAAGCACGGCGTCTTCCTCCAAAGGCTGTCCTTTTCAGGATTCAGGCTGGGTGATGAGACATTCCTAGGTCCTGGCCGAGACAAACCCAAGGGCGAGAAATTCCCTCTCAGAAGACAGTCTCCAGTGCCATCCTGGTCTTCTTGACTCGCCTCAGTACCTCAGCCCCAATGTCCATTTAGAAACAAAGCAAGTGTGTTTTGGGCTATGTGTCTACCTCTTGACTGCTTGAAAATGAAAGCCAAGACAAAATGGTGGCGGGCAGGCCCTGGAAATTGCTCTGCTCCGTCCTGAAGCCCTTTTTGAGGAAGAAAATGAGTAGGGTTCATTCTATGAGAGGCGGGCCCTCATGACCTGAGGGGCTGGCACTGACTTGAAGACCTGTCCTAGAATTCAGCGTGCATACATGCCCAAGTCACAGCTCAGAGCCTTCATCTTTTCACCCTGCCAGGACCGTAGAGAACAGATGTGGCCTGCTGTAGAGAGGGTTCAGTTGCAGGGCACCCGTGAGCTCAGCCTCAACAGAACTTGGCAATGAGTGAAGGAGGCATGTCCTGGAAGGCTCTGGAAGCCTTCGCCTCCCTCTTTCCTTGGCAGATGTGTGTCCAGAGGTGCCTTTCTGTCCCATCCCATGTGGTCCTGTTAGTGCCCCTTTGCAGCCCACGGCCTCCGATGTGCACGTCAGGGCCAGAGTGCCTTCTTTCCAGACCCAGGCCTACCCCATAGCCCTCCATCACTGCCCAGGCACCATCCTGCTTGATTCCCCCTCTCATCCTGGGCATCTAGCCAGTGTTACGTCCATTGGAGGGGCCCTGTCCCCTTGACACACCCTTGAGGCCTTTCCGAAGACAACCTGGGCCTAGCCCAGTTATCCCTCTTAAACTACAAACAGTAGTGGTGTGTGATCAGACGGGTGGCTAGCCAGGGTCTGCAGGACTCCTAAGAGGGGGAGCTGGGAAGCACATGGTGATGGATGCTTGGGTTGGGAGTCAGGGCACCCATGAATCCAGCCTCAGCAGGAGTCTGGCGGTGAGTGAAGGGAAACTGTCCATGGAGGCCTCCTTCCTTACCTGCCTCTCGCCTGGGCTGGCATGTGTTCAGAGGTGCCCAGGGGGGAGCTGGTCAGGCTGGTCAGTCAGGCTTGGAGGGGGCGGAACAGGTTTCTGGGCTATTGTCACCATGGAAATGTCTGTAGCTGCAGGATGTGTGCAAGGAAGGGGGAGGGGCCACCTCCTGGGGCCCTAGTCACAGGCTGGGGATCACCAACGTGCCTGGCCCTGGGGCCACTCGGCTTCCCAGTCCTCGGGCCGGGCAGAGAAATGAAATACGGGTGTCAGCACAGCAGTGGCGTTTCTGGAGTCAGCTGCCCACACTGGGCCAGGCCATCAGGGTTAGGCTGTTTGTTTTCCAGACCCAAGGCTCAGGTAGAGGCCTGTGGGTCCCTGTGCCCTGGCTTCCGTCCACATCTTAAGGAGTTTTCCCAGGATGGAGTCAGGAAGTAGGAGAGTCAAACAAGCCCCTAATGGGAAGGAGAAATGGGGCCAGAATCCTGCGAGTCAGAGACCCGGGCCTGAGGAGGACCTGCAGCAGTCACGGGCTTGGGGCGCTCACAGATGGGGGTGTTAGCCCACAACGCTTGATGCCGAGGAAACTCACAGGTACCCCGCTCCTCCAACAGGGCGCTAGTGCACCTGCGGCCCCCTCGAGCCTGCACCGGCTGGCTCCACCCCGCCCCCACTCATCCCAGCGGTTTCTTAGGCTGTTTTTGGAAGTGGAGGCGCTTACTGGTGAGCCTCGCCCGCCCCTCCTTCAGCACCACAGACAGGACCGAGGCGCCCCGCCCGGAATCCGATGCTTCGTGCTTCTGGGCTGTGAGACCGTTGCTATGGAAACGAGGCAACAAAGGGAGGCGGCGCCGGGAGGCGGAGGTTGGGGGGGCGTCTCCCCGGGCTTCTCGCGGCCCCTCCCGCCACGAGCCAGCCGGGGCGTCGGGGCCTGGAGCTGGGGACCCCAAGTCTGCAATCCCGCCACCATGTTGCTATGGAAACCTCGGGCGATCCCTCTAGACGCCACTTCACTGTGGGGTAGCGGGCGCCAGGCCCGGCCCCTCCGACCCCGGCAGGTGCGCCCCGCCTGCCGTGCGCCCAGCTGCTGGCGTCCCGGGGGCCGGGCTCCAGAGGCCCCGCCTAGATCTAGGAGCCAATCGACGTCGGGGGCGGGCGGGGCAGGCGCGGGCGGCGGCGCAGAGACCAGCGCGGGTGGAGGGCGCGGACCGACCGAGCGCATCGACCATGGCCTCCAAGTGTCCCAAGTGTGACAAGACCGTGTACTTCGGTGAGTGTCCACCCGCCGTCCACCTTCGCCTCCAGGGCCCCGGCGCAGAGCCACACCCCGTAGTGTACACGAATCGCGGTGCGCAGCTGGTCTTGGGATGCGCGGCCGGGAGTTAAGCTCGCCACGCTGCCCACGCGGGTGCGGCCGGAGGCTCGAAGGTGGGGCTGCGCCGGGCAAGGGGGGCCACCTGGCATCCTGGAGAGGCGGTGGCGTCGGGTGGGTTCGGAAGCGGCCGGTAGGCACCGGGCGAGGTACGCAAAGTCCCGGTCTGCCCGGGCTGGGAGCGCCCTCCTGGCCAGCCGCATGTTCGTTCGCTCATCGCCCTTCAGCAGCAACTATTTGGGGCGGGATCCAACGAAGTCAGACGCCCAGGACTGGTCCGATAAGATCCCCTGGGTCTCGGCATCTCCGCCTCATCCTGTAGCTGCCTCTAGTTTGCACGTGGGCCCAGCAGAGTGACCCGGAGTAGTGAGTGACCCCAGTCCTCCCTCCGACCTCTGCCCAGACCGCTGGACCAGGTCTGGGATCCGCTGGGATTCCGGATTCAGTCCAAGCGGGGGCGACCTTGGCCTCCGCCTCTTTCGTGCCCCAGCTCGCTCCCTTTCTTGGCTATTTGCCTCTGCCTTGGCGGTTTCACCCGGGGTGGGGCACTGGCGACATGTCGTAGGTCTCCTTGAGCTTGAGAGTGAGCTAAGTGACTGGGACCCCCCCCCCCCCCCCGCCTCTTGGAGGTCAAGGCCCTCAGGGAAGTAGGCATTAGTATGCAGGAATGTTTGGTTCTGGCTTGCTAAGGTGGCCTTTGAAGGCCGTCACTTTTATCAGGCATCCCTTGATCCCTGAACTGCTAACCTCCAGACACTATGCTACTGGCTGAACAACTTTTTCAGAGTAGCAGTGTCGCTGCCCACCAAAAGATAGACTCGGGCCAGAACAGAAGACGACTTCGGGCCCGAAAAGACAGGGTTCCCTTCTATGGCCATTTCAGAACAGCAGTGAGTGTTTGGGTCAGGGGGCTTCTTGAGCTGACAGGAGAGGAGAGGAGGAGAGGCCACTTTTGTTGTTCCCGGAGGGGAGGACCGGATTTGGCTTGGAGTTGTTCTGGGTGGCCTGGAGCCAGGGGTTTCCTGTTGCCTCCTGGAGGGACAGATGGCCTAATGTCAGTCCTTTTCCTTAGAGGTATGTCTGACTGATCTCAGGGTGAGGACAGCCCTCAGGATGGTTCTTCATAACTTTGCCCCTGGCCAGGCAAGCTCTGGACTCTCTGGGGCCTTGGCCAACAGGCCACCAGGAAAAAGCACACTGCCTGCCTGCTTGGGCGCCTCTGGCTCTCAGCAGAAAACAAAGGCTGCTCAGAGTGAGCTGGCTTCTGTCCTTTGGGGAGGTGATATGGCGGGGGGGGGGGGGGTCGTTCAGAATGCTGCTCTTTCCACCCAGCTAGGCTGTGCTCTAGCAGCCCACATCTGAGTAAACCCTAGGCCAAAGGGGACCCCAGGGTGCTCTGAGTCTGATTTCCCTCCAGAACACGTGGGCAGGTAGGAGACTGTTCCCTCCCAGGCTGTTAGACCCAATCGATGCTGCATTCCCAATTTACGTCTGTAATGGGGCCATCGACCAAACAGTGGTCTGATGGTCAGTGCCCTGCCCCCTCATGGCCCACATCCCAGAGCTGGCCAGGGCAGAGTGGTTTTGGCAGCCTTGAGCTGCAGCTGCCACAGCCACTGATGGCCATCTCAACAACCTCCTTATCGCTGTGCTGAGAGAGGATGCCAGGCGGGCTTGGGAGCCAAGCCTGCCTTCTATCCAGGTAGCTCTTGCCTGTTCTAGCTTGGACAACACAAGGCTGTGTGTGGCTCATCTGTGTCTTAGTATCACAAAGGGAGCTAAGTGACACTGTCCAGGGCAAGAGTCTAGGGGTTCCTGGAGAATGCCCTGTCTTGTCCGTGCACAGCAAGTTAGGACTGTAGAGAGCCAGAATTGGCTGCATGGAGGTTCCAGGCTCACTGCCCAGCAGCAGCAGCAGCAGCTCCTGGGGGGGGGGGGGGGGGGACAACACTCTCAGAGTAGCCTGTGCTCCCTGGCCCTACGCGTTTGCCAAGGTTGTCCAGAGGAGGCTTGGCCCCAAAGGGACCACTCACTGGGCTACTCTTGAGAAAAGAAGGTTGGAGAGTTGTCTCTGCTGTCCTCAGAGCTGAGTGCCAGAGCTAAGCAAGCATAACACCCCTCCCGCCCGCCCGCCCGCCCGCCACCCTGGCCTGGCCCCTTCCCTTTGGAATTCCAGCTCTGCTGTTAGCCCTCCTTCCTGCCCTCTCCACCCTTTTCCTGCCTTACTCCCTTGGGGAGGCCCGGGCTTCCGTCCATTGGGATGTGGCTCCACAGTCATAGGCCTGGAGGTGGAGGTGGACGGGGGCTGGTGGAGAGCAGGCTCGGGATCCTCAGCTGCTGGTCACAAACCTTTGGCGCCAAACTGGCAGCTGGAGGCGGTGGGTGGAAAGAGATCTCAGTCAGGGCTTAGGACAAGGAAGCCAAATAGGGATCCCATCTGGTGGCTCTGGCGACAACCAGGGCTGGTGGCCCCTCACCCCGTGCTGAAGGTCAAGGGCTTTTGTTTCAGGAGTGGGGTTCCCTGGCTGGGTTATGCTCTGTCAGTTAGGCCCTATGGGGAGGGGGACAGGTGTGAGGAGAGGCCCTGTGAGTTTGAGGCAGGTGTTCTGAGGAAGGATCAGGTGTAAACAGCCGAAGATACTGAGCAAGGAGTGAAGGGCTCCAGGATGGCTGAGGGGGTCTTGGAGCCTCCACGGCTGGGGTGGGGCCTGATGTCTACCAGGTGGTGTGAAATGGAATACTGACCTGACCTCCTCCTCCCGGTCCCCACAGCTGAGAAGGTGAGCTCCCTCGGCAAGGACTGGCACAAGTTCTGTCTCAAGTGTGAGCGCTGCAACAAGACGCTGACCCCTGGGGGCCATGCTGAGCATGATGGGAAGCCTTTCTGCCACAAGCCCTGCTATGCCACGCTGTTTGGGCCCAAAGGTAAGCAGGGTCTCAGCCGCGCCTGAGTCCTGGGACAGTTCCTGTGGTTGCTAGGGGTGTGTATGTGCTTCATCTGCTCCTTCACCCCACACCTCCGCTCCTCCCCTGTCCCCCTCCTACCCTGGAGAGCCGTGAAGCAGCTTTAGGAGAAGCTCTGTGTGAGAGATGGGTGGGTGCTGTCAAGGCCTCCGAGACCATTAACCGCCTGCCGCCTTCAGGTGTGAATATAGGGGGTGCTGGTTCCTACATCTATGAGAAGCCTCTGACTGAAGGCCCTCAGGTCACTGGCCCCATCGAGGTCCCCGTGGTGCGAACCGAGGAGCGGAAGACCAGCGGACCCCCCAAGGGGCCCAGCAAAGGTGGGGCAGGCTCTGGGTGGGGGTTATAATGGGTGGCCAAGGTCCACCCTGACCCAGCTTCACTCTTCCAGCCTCTAGTGTCACCACATTCACTGGGGAACCCAACATGTGTCCTCGATGCAACAAGAGGGTGTACTTTGGTAAGTGACTACTACCCAGTCTGCTGGCTCCGGGGAAACTGTGCCTCAGGGTTGGAGTTTCCACCATCATCATTCTCCCCTCCCCCCTCCCAAGCTGAGAAGGTGACCTCTCTGGGCAAGGACTGGCACCGACCCTGTCTACGCTGTGAGCGCTGCAACAAGACACTGACCCCTGGCGGGCATGCCGAGGTAAGGGGTGCAGTGTGGGTGCAGGAGGAAGAGCGTGCTGCAGGGGTGCAGGAGGAAGCGCGTGCGGGAGGGGTGCGGGAGGAAGAGCGTGCTGCAGGGGTGCAGGAGGAAGAGCGTGCACGTGCGGGAGGAAGCGCGTGCTGGAGGGGTGTGGGAGGAAGCGCGTGCGGGAGGGGTGCGGGAGGAAGAGCGTGCTGCAGGGGTGCGGGAGGAAGAGCGTGCGCGTGCGGGAGGAAGCGCGTGCTGGAGGGGTGTGGGAGGAAGAGCGTGCTGCAGGGGTGCGGGAGGGAGAGCGTGCAGGAAGGGGGAAGCATGCGGGAAGGAAGAGCGTGCGGGAGGGGTGCAGGAGGAAGCGCGTGCGGGAGGGGTGCGGGAGGAAGCGCGTGCGGGAAGGGGGAAGCATGCGGGAAGGAAGAGCGTGCGGGAGGGGTGTGGGAGGAAGCGCGTGCGGGAGGGGTGCGGGAGGAAGCGCGTGCGGGAAGGGGGAAGCATGCGGGAAGGAAGAGCGTGCGGGAGGGGTGTGGGAGGAAGCGCGTGCGGGAGGGGTGCGGGAGGAAGCGCGTGCGGGAAGGGGGAAGCATGCGGGAAGGAAGAGCGTGCGGGAGGGGTGTGGGAGGAAGAGCGTGCGGGAGGGGTGCGGGAGGAAGCGCATGCGGGAGGGAATGGGGGGGGGGCAGGTACAGAAGCAAGGAGTTCACTCTGCCTGGCCTGGGGTCGCCCTAGGCTGTATGGACTGCCTTCTGGCCAGTAGAGGGCAGATTCTGCAGATACTCCTTGGAGCTCTGCTATTCTCGTCAAAAGTGAGTGGGCCTGCACATGACCTTTGCAGCCTGAGTTCTCAGGGAGCAGACTCCTACATTTATGGAAGTCTCACTGCATCTGGGGAAGTAAAGGAAGGGGTGGGGGTCGGCGCTCAGGGTCTTTCTGTCCTGTCCACAGCACGACGGCCAGCCCTACTGCCACAAGCCTTGCTATGGAATTCTCTTTGGACCCAAGGGAGTGAACACCGGTGCTGTGGGCAGTTACATCTATGACAAGGACCCTGAAGGCGCAGTTCACCCTTAGGCCTCAGACGCCGTTCTCAGGGTCCCCTACCTGACCCCGAGGGAAAATGACCTGCTGCCCAGCCCTGCCTCAGTGTGTCTCACCTGCAAACCCCGTGGCCTGAGTGGTTGAGGAGGAAGCCTGCCGGCTGGTGTCCAGAACAGCCCAGAATTCCAACTGTTTCTTCATCGCCTCGGCATGTCCTGTGTTACCCACTGCCCCCTTTGCGTCCGTGTGCCTCCGTCCCTAGCCTCGTGTGTCCCGGGCCCCCATGGCCCCGGTAGCTCTCCGAGGTGGCTGTCCTGTGGTCTCCCTGTTGCCCACGCCTCCCACCAGTATTATTTATGCTCTGCTTGCCTGTGATGGCCATGAGCTCACAGCATTCCCAGGCAGCGCCCCTGCACGGAACCCTTTGCTGGTTCCCACACTACTCCCCTCACGTGGTTCACAGCTACAGAGGCTTGCTGTCAATAAATGGTTTGAGGATTGCAGGGCCCAGTGTCATGTGTGGGATGGGTGTGAACCCAAGACAGTGTAGTGTCCCTTTGTGTCTTCACAGATGTTCCCTCGCAGTCCTGGGCCCAGTGTGGGTAGGGATGGACTCCAGAGACATTTCCGAACTGGGGAGTCTGATTAGGCATCAGTGTGGGGAGGGGGAGGGAGGGGGAGGGAGGGCCCCCTCCAGGCAGAGGTGATGAGAGGTCTTGGACCAAGGGGCGCAGATAACAGACATGGGATCTGTTGAAGACACACTGACACATGTAGAGAGGTGTATCTACATGGGAATGAGCCCAGGACCCTGGGACACGGCACCGGGCACTGGAGCCTTGGTGTGTGATGTCCAACTTGTGAACAAGCAGGAGCCATGTCATAGGGCCTGGAGACAGGTGACCAACCAGATCATGGAGAGGCTGCTGAGAGCTGGTGGGACCTGACAGCTTGGGACTGGCCGTTTCCTGCTGTGCCCACAGGCAAAGCTTTTGACCACCTTGTTTTGTCCCTAGTGGATGGGTCTCGAAAAGAACGAGGAAGGTGGGCCAGGCGAGGGTCTAGGGATTCCTGTGTCTGGGTTTGTAGTGAGGTAGCGAATTGTATCTTCTTGGCCCACGACCTGAGACTGGAACCCGCTTCTTACAGCGGGTGGCCCTTCCTCCACTTGTTTTCCCACGAATGCCCACTAGACGGCGCCCCTGTATTTCAGCTTGGTGCTTTTGGGGGACATCATGTGATCCGGGCCCCAACTAGTCCTGCTCCATACATATGCAGTCCAGGCCTCGGGTACCTAAAGGTCTGGGGCTCCCATATCCGGTCACTGCCACGGAGCACGAAGTCTTCTCAGGCTCGTCCCAGCCTTCCAGGCCGTTGACCCTGGTGTGGCTGTGCCTGGGCCTACTGCCCTATGGGTGACGTTGTGTCCTTGGCCACGGAGCACGGGTCTGGTCCCATGGTGTCTGGAGCTCTCCACCCTCGCCAAGGGGAGGTCCTGCAGGTATCGGGCTCTGGAGGAAACCCCTCGCCCAACAAGAGGCCGCTTCTTGGCTGCACATTTTGGATTGGGCTGGGCAGCCCGCGCTCCTCCTGGTTGGCGATGCGTGTGAGGGCAGAGGGACCGATGAATTGTCTGCCCTCCGGAGCGGGAAGACTTCAACCAGCTCAGCCTGGAGGGCACAGAGGGGGCGGGCCCTCAGCCCTCCCCAGCCCTGGGTGGGACCTTTGAAGGAAAGAAGGGGACTCCCCTGGCTGGGCCGCGAGGGCAGGGTCTTCCCAGGGCAGATCCATCCCCGCCCTGCGGCCAGCTTTGCTGTGCATCAGAGGGGCGGGGCAGGATCTGGCCTTTTCCTGCCGGGGAAGATGACGCTGCGTGGTGTTTGTTTCCAAGGAGTTGCCGTGGAAACGTGGCGGCGCTGCGACTGTTTGTCTGGGCCTTGTTGCCAGGCGGTGTCCACTGCATTGCCAGGTCGCGTCAGTGGCACCGGCTTCCGATGCACCCGAGACGGAGGAGAGAATGGAAGCCTTTGTCTCAGGCATCCGCCCTTCTCTGGGAGAGTGCCCTGAGCTTCTATCTCCCAAACGAACGCCTAGAGTGGGAGATGACTCTAGATGCCATCTGACGGCCTCACCTCATCCCAAATTCTGCCAGGCGAGTCCAGGACCTCACAAGGAGCCTCACAGCCCAGGCTGCCCTGCACAGTTTAGCCGTGTTCCAGGGGTTCCCCTGACACACCCACCACCCACTTTTCTAGTCTTGCTGCACTCTCCACCCAGCCCCTCTCTGGACCCCTGCTGGTATGCTCAGCGGGGCTTTGTGGGGCGTGCAGCCTCCCTCTCCCTCTCTCTCGGCCTCCCCACTTAGTTTTATATTCTCTGACCAACATTCCAGACCCCCAGCATCCTGCCTCCTGCCTTGGCTTGTGTCTCCTCCGCCAGGAACTCTTCTGCACCAGCCCTGGTGACCCCTCTGCCGGGGTCTTCCTCAAGCTCCTGGCTGGCTGCAGATTCCATCTATCTCAGGGTCTGGCATGGCTGGTCCTGCTCTCTGGCTGCTGGCTGGTATCCAAAGGGCCACCATGTGCTAACGCTCTGGCTATGGAGTGGTGCAGTGCAGGCTGGCCACAGCTCGGTGCCAGGTGTAGGCGGTTTTTTCCCTAGGGCCAGGCTGGCTGTGGGGGTGGGCTCCAGGCCACGAACCAGGCCTCAGCTGCTGCTTTGGGGAAGCTGGAATGCCAGGCAGTTGTGCAGGAAGCACTCACTGGGCACAGGCCCAGCTGCACAGAAGGCAGGGTTCAGGGTGCTGCGGATCTGACCAGACCATGGGTCTGGTCCTGCGGAGAGAAGGGTGGCTTAGAAACCCTACTACCACTCTCTACCACCCTCCTCCTGGCCAGGTCATGTCACTTCTGGAAAAGGAGAAAGCTCATTGCTGGCCACCTAAGCCCAAGGGGCAGCGTTCAACCCCCTCTCAGTGGCTAACCGTCCCAGCAGGCCACCCTAGGGCCAGATCTATGCCAGACCAGCCGGGGGTCCCCTGAGACAGGCTGCTGAAAATAGGTCCTGGGAACTTGTACATGTCCTCAACTGGTCTGAGGGAGGGAGGGGAGGGTGGGGAGGGGTGGGGTGGGTGGGGGTGGGGAGGGAAGCCTGAGCTGCCTCTGACCTGGCTCAGCATGTCCTCTGAAGTGTGTGCTGGCAGCATGTGCACCTGAGAGCAGAGGACACAGGGCAGACTCAGCTGACCTCTAGCCCTTAAATGAACATCCCCACATGTGACTACAGGTACCGGCCAGCCTTTGTCACACTGCAGAGGCCCCCTGGAGTTGCTGAACCTTCCTGATAGGACTGGGTATTGAGATTCCTGGGTGGTCATCCAGCCCACAGGGCCCACCCCACCTTCTCTGGCTGGCCTCAGGGCATGGTATCCTAGCCAGTGGAGGGCGCATGGGTGTGTGCAGAGAAGGCTGGAGCACATACATATATGATTTGGCAGCCTCCCCTCCTCCACACCCTCTATGCTGCCCAGGAACAAGTAGTGGGGAGCTCAACGCCTGCCTTGTGAGTATTTGGGCAGAGCACCCCAGGCCTGGGATCAGAGGGAGCAGGGGAGTGTGGAGCTGGGCCTTAGGAAGGCTGGCAGCATTTGGGCATCAGCTGAGAGCTAGGTTGAGGGCTAAGACTAGAGGTCCGGAAAGAAGCAGCAGCAGAGGAACATTTGCCGACACTATGGGAACTTTGAAAGAGTTCTTGAGTGTGTGTGTGTGAGAGTGTGTGTGTGTATGTGTATATATTTGTTGTCTCATTTAGCCCAGGCTGACATTAAATATTTTATGTAGCTGAGGCTGACTGTGAGTCAGCCTCGACCTTCAAGTGCTGCAAAGGAGTTCTCAGGCCAAGAGCAGGCTCAGGCCTCAAAACCTTTTGGTATACCTTGGGGGAGGGGGCTTCCTTCCTTCCTTCCTTCCTTCCTTCCTTCCTTCCTTCCTTCTTCCTTCTTTCTTTCCTAAACAGGGCTTCTCTGTATATCACTGGCTGTCCCGGGACTCACAACTCACTCTGCCTCCCGAGTACTGGGATTAAAGATGCCCCATCATTGTCAGCTGGGTAAGGCAAAAAGACACCAAAGCCATAGCTCACATCAAAGTTAGGTGAGGGTCAGAGTAGTCTTGAAACATTTGTTTTTGGCAGAGCATAGACATTACTTCAGGTATAACATAAACAATTAATTTTGACTTATACCTTTTTCAGTTATTTTAGTTTATGCTAAGTTTATTTAAACATTAATTATTCTGGTTAATACATCTGGACCACAGTCAAGGTCATGGAAATCTCAACTGTGTTTCCAAGGCAGACATGACTTAAGGGACTAAAGGGCTGAGAACTAAATAAGCAAAGATAGTTTTACTTATCACTTCATTGCCATCCTTGGCTTTTTCTTCTCTCCTGGTTTTCTTTTCTCCTTTCTTTCCTTCCCTTTCTTTCTTGACAAGATCTTGGCTCTGTACACCAGGACATTGAACAGGTGATCTTCCTGCTCAGGGCTCTGGCTTGGCCCTCACCCATCACAAGCCTGTGGAGCTGTACCAGCCTGTGGCTCTCTTTGTGTCTGAATAGAATGTCTGGAAAAACTCCATGTACCAACAAAGAAGATATCAGCCTTTGGCCCCTGTCTTGACACCCTCCTGTGACCATGGCAACAGGAAACAACATTGAGAAGGCCAAGAAGACGCATTCTGTTTTTTTTTTTTTTTTTTTTTTTTTTTTTTGGAGGGAAGGCTCCATAGGCAGGGTGTGGCCTGAATCCAGGAAGGAGCTATCTCTGGGGTGGGACAATGGATGGAAGAGACATAGCCTGGGTTATTGACCAACCTGCCTTAGCAAGTGTCTCTTGGGTGAGGCAGGAAGGGTCTGTCGGGTCCCCAGGTGCAGCTGGGATGAAACATGGACAGCCATTTGCTCTGAGGCCACACTCTAGAGCCACCCTGAAGGACGTCCCCCCACAGGAGTGCCTGCAGGCCCTGGGTTATGCCTGTGAATCCAAACACTCAGCCTCTGGTACACACCCGTGCAGAGAGAGGCAGTCTGCCAGGCGCCCTGAGTCTCCGCCTAGTGCATCCCCTTGTCAAGCAGTACTTGGCTTCTTCCATGGACAGTGAGGTAGTGTGCTTTGTGGCCAGGCCCCAGAATCTGGGATGGTAGAGACACCACCCTTCCAGATGGTTCTTTCTGGGCCTCCCCTGGCCCCTCTCTCTCTAAGTCACCAAAGGTTTGCTCAGAACTCCCCTTCCAGAGCCTCTGCCCATATGATTCCCACCTCCACCCCTTTCTCTCACCTCTGTAGACTAGGACAGGATCTACCCAGATTTTTTTTTTTTTTTTTTTCACCAGAAGGGCTGAAGACTACAATAAGTGACTAAAGAGGGTTGGGCTAATGGTGTAAGTTCAGAAACCACTCAGGAACGCCAACCCAGGCCTCGTGGTGGGTCTTCAGTAACGACAGGCTGGAGAATGGATATCTGTCCTCGCAGGGCCCCCAGCTGGTAGTAGAGGGCTTCAAAATGTTTGTAGATCTGGGCATTTGTGGAACCCCAGTTTGGAGCAAAACTGTGCCCTCAAGTTACGGTCCCTGGGAGGAGGGTGGAGTGTTGTGGGGGAGGGGTGTCTGCATCTGTGGGTAGTCCCTGGAGCATGGCCTTTGCATTAGACACAGTGTGTGTGTACTCCCACAGCTTGAGATCTCTGAGATGAAGGTACCCCAGGTCCTTGCCACAGGCCCAAGACTGAAGACTGATAATGCGTAGGTGAGTGTGAATAAAAGGCTCAGTCAGGGTTGAACCCAAGACACACGGTCCCTGGGCATTGCCAAGGATGGTCTTAAGAGCTGCAAAAGTAGGACCTGGGCTGGCCCTGGGATGAGAGGCCTTGTTTTGAAAGGAGTGTGTCAAGTGCAGATGAAGATCCTGGTAATAGTGAGTGTGAAGGGAGGTCCACGTGTTAGAGGGGTGAAGGGTGGGAGCCAAATACCCAGCTAACAGCAACCACAGCATCAGCGTGTTAGGCAAGGGTCACAGCCCCAACCCCGGTGGAGGCCTGAATGTGCTGACCCACAGTTGGTTTGCAAGTCTACAGAGCTCTCTGAAACGTAGGTTCCCTGGGCCAGTGCAAGCCTGGCAGCTCTCCTTATTTACGGTCTCTCTACCTGGTACCAATCACGGTTCAGCCTCCTCCTCGGCTGGGCGGTGGACTTGGACCGCTGAGCCCAGGGCGCTTTCCCAGTGATAAGGACAGATCATCTTCGCTTGTGCCTCAAGGCATCAGTGAACCTGCCTGGCTGGGCGTGGCCTCGCCTGCATTCCTTGTCTTGACCTCTAGTCTCCAACCTCAAGTTGGTGGGTCCTCAGGCTCAGACTCCGTTGTCTCTGTGGCAGGAAGGGCTTTCTGGATGGGAGTCCCCTCTTCCGAATTCCCCTGGTTAAGTCGTGGCTGCAGTCCAGTCAGCCGGTAAAGGTCAGGGTCAGGGTGTTCACTTGCTTCTGGCCAGGGTGTACCTCCTGGCGTCTGCGTGGGTTACATCTGGGAGGGGTTAGGGGTGGGTTTGGGCTACAAGATTGAGATTCTAAGCGCCCTCAACTCTCCAAGAAGGCAGGGTCAGATAAGTGCAAATTCTTGAATGATAATTTGCCTCTATCTGCGCTTCATTTTACTCCCTTTTTGTGGTTTTGGAATTGGGTCTCATACTAGAGACCAGATTGGCCTTACCAGTTCTGGCTGTGCGAGCAATCGAACCACGCCCAGCTTTACTGAACTCCAGAAGTTTCTTGTGCCCACCCCGGTTCCTACAAGCTCTCGCAGGTGCAAGGCTTAAGGTGGCCCTGATAGGGCACTTCTTTCGAGGGGAGGACCCAACGTCTCCCATTCAAGCGCCGCAGGCTTGCCCTGCCCCAGGCAGGGGGCGGTGCCTGGGCCCGCGGGAGCTGCCTGGCTCCTCAGAGGGTCCCAGAAGACCCAACGCCCCTGCATGGCACTTGGCCAGTTTGTCCTGCCAGAGGCGAGCATGGACCAGATGACCATTCTTGGCCAGTCGGCCAGGATCAGAGATCCCAGGGGTCCAAGTCTCGGACTCAGGGGGCGGGGCGGGGGCGGGGGCGGGGCCTTAAAAGGGCAGGGCCGCGGGGTCCCTGAAAAGCGCGGACCGGGAGGACGCCACCCAGTCAAGAGCCTACAACCCACTTCCTTCTAGTTGCAGCCACTTGTTCAGGACCAAGTTCCGCCATGCCGAAGTGCCCCAAGTGTGACAAGGAGGTGTATTTCGGTGAGCACGCTCGGGTACCCCACCTCTCCCCGCATGCCCGCGGGCGCAGAGCAGGCGGTTCGCGGAAGCGGGGACTGGAGGCAGACACTGCTGGGTTGTTCAGGTGGGCAGGAGTCCCTACAGTCCCGGGCGTCGCTGAGGATCGAACCTATGGACCTTGCCCGCGGTGTTAGTGTGGAATGACTTGGTGTCAAAGGAACCGACTTCTGTGCCCACTCTGTCTTAGGTTTCTGGGTCGGTCTCCTGGCCTCCTTAGCTCTGGGTCTCCAGGTCTCCATGACTTCCATGCTTTTGGGTGTCTCCCTCTCTGTGTGACCCTCGCCTCTGGATCCGGTTGTCCCTCCCGCCTTCTCTCTGCGCGCCCTGGGCGGGGTCCCTGCGGGTCTGGGGCGGCGGCCCCTCCCAACGCTAAGTAGAAACAGACGCGGGAAAACCACGTCCGGGGATGCGATCTCGGGTGTGCTCATTTTCTTGCTCTTCCTGCGCCCTAGGGTCCCCACAAGAGGGTGTGTGAGTAAGTAGCATGCCCTCGTCCCTATAACCCAGGAGACCTAGCCCTACACCCTCCAGACCTGCTCTCCAACCCCACCCAGCTTTGTCCCTCAAGTTGAAGGCCTCCTCCTCTCCAGCCCTACAAGCCCTCAGGGGTCACATTCCTGTAGAGCTTGAAAATGTCCCAGCAATGAGCTAGAGTGGTGTGGCCCACGCCTTTAGTCCAGCAGCAGAGGCAGGAGGATCTCTGTGAGTTCAAGACCCGTTTGGTCTACAAAGCAAGTTCCAGGACAGCCAGGGCTGTAACACAGAGAAACCCTGTCTCAAGAGACCAGAGATACAGAGAGAGACAAAGAGAGACAGACAGACACTCTCACACAGAGACAGAGAGAGGAGAATGGAAAATATCCCTCCTGTAGCCTCACAGCACTGGCTTGAGAGAACCAGAGGTGGCCCCTCTATGGAGCACAGGGGCAGTCTGGGGACCCGGGGTGAACTACCACGTTGAGAGGATGAAGCTTAGGTTGTGTGTGCAGCGGCAGAAGTTATGCAGGGGCCCCGGTGTCTCATAGTGGGTTTGTGATTTTGCAGCTGAGCGTGTGACATCACTCGGCAAGGACTGGCATCGTCCCTGCCTGAAGTGTGAGAAATGTGGAAAGACACTGACGTCTGGGGGCCACGCCGAGGTAAGGGTCTGCTGGGGGCAGCGGGAGGATGGGGGACGGTCAGGGAGGGGTGTGGCTGAAAGGCCCTTGCCTTGTTCTTCTTGTAGCATGAAGGCAAGCCCTACTGCAACCATCCTTGCTACTCCGCCATGTTTGGGCCCAAAGGTATGCTGTCGGATTTTTTCCCTAAACAGGCCTCCCACTTCAACAGGCTCTCTTCCTCAACCTATTGATCTCCTGTGTTTGCCTCTTTTTTTCAGGCTTTGGGCGAGGTGGAGCTGAGAGCCACACTTTCAAGTAGACCCAGGTACAGCCACATCTCCAGTCGAACCCAGCCCGCCCGCCCGCCTCCAGGATAGGCTCAGCCCTAGTGGAGTAAGTAACAAAACTTGGAGATGCACTCACAGTTAGTTGTCTCTGTTTCTTCTTACAGGTTGTGGAAACTCCCTACCCGCCCAGGCACCTGCCGGGCCTTAACCCTAGACAGAGGGGCTGTCTGTAACCCTTCATGCCTTTAATTAATAAACCTGACCTTTTGGAAGGCCTTGTGTTTGTCTGCCTGTGTGTGTTGGGGGGTGGGGTGGGTAGCGGAAAGGGAGCCTCAGCCTCAGGCCTAATGCAGGGCGCTTGTTTTTCCTGCAGACATTGCTGAGCACTGCCCTTTCGGTAATTTCAGGGCAGGAGTTCGGGCCTACCCCCAACTTTAGGATCCACAAAATTCCTTAGCTCTTTGTGGCTCTGGCCAGGGGTGAGGCCCTGGCCAGCAGGGACATGCAGCCTGGGAGTGGGTGGGGCTGGCCACAGTTCGGAGGGTGATTCAGTGGGAGCTGTTGTAGTTCCCTTTTTGAGATTATTTCGGGGGAGTTGTGTGGACTCCTTTCCCGGTCCACTTTCACTTCCTGCAACCCCACCCTGTCCACAGAAGCATCCCCTTGTGGATGCTTTGCAGCAGCTCAACAGATACCACCTCCATATTGCCACCCCCCCCCACCCGCCCGCCCAGGAATGTCCTGGGTAGCCTGGTGTGCAAATGGGATTCGAGGGCTGGTAGTAGAAAGGGCTTTCTGGAAACTCTTGGAGGCTGGGCCAGACGACTTTCGGCTTCCCCTCCCCCAGACCGCTGGCCATTCAAGATCCCATTGACCCTAACAAGGCCACAAAGGTCTCAGCAGTGACCCTGGCTTTGCCTGCCTTAGTCTTTGGCACCTACACTGCAGGAATGTGTGTGTGTGTGTGTGTGTGTGTGAGAGAGAGAGAGAGACTGGATGATTTTCCTACCCGGAGGGGTGTGGGCGTTGGGACACAGATCCTGGGTGTTCAACAGCACCCGCAGAGGACCTGGAAGAGACATGGGTGAAGGGCAGAGTTTCCCATTCCCCTGATGTCTCCCACCCTCCAGGACCCTGTCTTCCTCATAATCCCAGTCCCCTGCACCCAGTTCCGTGTCTCCCAACTGGGGCAGACTTGGGGTGAACTCAGCAGCCTGAGGCCTGTAGGAAGGAGGGGGCAGGGGGTGGGCAAATACATCATATTGCAAAGATGTTCTGAGAAGCAAAGAGCTCCTCCAGGGTTTATCAGGAGTTCCTTAGCACAGTAGCCGAGATCGCCCTGTCCGTCTGTCTTTGTGCTTAAGGGTTCAGGGCGCAGCGAAGTGTGAGGGTGTGCAGAAGCAGGGCCCTAGGCCCAGGGCAGTAGGAACAGGTAGAGTCTAGCTGGGCTTGGCCATTTGGCACCAGCAGCCCTAGTTGCTCGGCAAGGACACCCTGAGGAGGGCACCCAGATGGGAAGAGGAACGTCTGCAGCAAGGTGTCAGATGCACGGAGAGGGGGTAGAGTGGGGAGCAGGAGCACAGGGAAGGTGGGCCAACAGTCCCGCACTTCCGGAGGGCGTGGCCATCCAGTGGACGCGGTTAAAGTGGCAGGTGCCTAGGGTCCTCCCTCTCACCTCAGTTTCCTGTTCCGCACCGCACCCTCTCCACCTGCCCCTTTCCCGGCTTTATTGAGACGTAGAGCACACACAGTACCGTCCATTGTCCCAGCTATTTCAGGTGACACCGCGTGCACAAAGCTTAGCTTGTGCCCGCTGGAGCGCACAGGCCCGCGCCCCCGCAAGCAATTCGCCCTGCCTTTGGTTGCCTGCAAGCCTCGTCCCCGGATCCTGTAGGCAGGCTCCGGCCTCTGTCCGGCCCTCCTCCACAGACAGGAGCCTTTGATGTGGTCTTTCGTCCCCGGCTTCCTACAGAGGCTGTTCTGGTAAAGCTTGTGGCCCCGTCGTAAGCCTCATGCCCACGCTGACATAATTCCTGTCCGCTCGTGGTGCGGCGTCTTTCCCCGCTCATGCTAATCAGGTTGGACTCCGGGTTCATTCTGCCCTTGTCATCACTGTCACGTAGCTAGCTGCTGTGCACGTCTACGTGTTTCCTTGCAGGATTCTCGCGGCTTAACCAGGAATTGACGCCGTAGTGCGCGAACCATCCTAAAGGAGATGGCCGCACCCTTCCCTAAAGAGGAGAATTTCCCTCAAAAACTCGTCTTCTGGGTGGCTGGAGGAAGGACGAAAATGGGGACAAGGAGGTGTGGGGCTGTACGGGAGAGGGAGGATGGCTTTCTCAAGACAATCCCGGCGACGTGGCCCCCGGAACTCCCCACCCAGTTCGCAAGGCTCGGCTTCTCCTCGCGGGTCCCTGGCGCCCCCTGGCGGCCAGCTCCTGGCGGCCTCGCAGAGACACTCCCTCGGTGCTAGGGTGGAGCCTCCCGGCGACACTCGGGCGCATGCGCGCCCTCCAGCCCCGCGCCACCTGCGCGGGAGGTTGCTAAGGAGGCTGGTAACCAGAGGCGCTGATTGGTGAGTTCCAAACTCCAGGCCCCACCCACCCAGACCCCGGAAGTGCCTGCCTACGGGATAGACTGCTTGTCACTCAAATGCCAGACTGACCGCTCATTGGACTTTGGCGGAGAAGGCGGGGCCCGGCCCCAGCCGTGATCGGTGGCTGGTCCCGGCCCGCCAGGGCGGGCGATCTGAGGCTGCCTGGTGCTGGCTGCATGGGGCGGCGGAGGCGCCGGGTGGAAGGGGCGGCCAGGGCCCTGCCTGAGGCTATCGCTGCGCTGAGTCGGTCCCTGCCCGCTGGGCCCAGCCCCGAGATCTTCCGCCGCGCAAAGTTTGACCGTCCGGAGGCGGTGAGGCTACCGGGGTAGGCGGCCGGGTTCGGGGATGGCGTTGTCTCGGGCCGACAGCGGGTAGGTGATACCCGCTGAGTCCAAACTCCTTCGCTGCAGGCTCCAGCGCTCTGGCAGCTTCTCTTCCGCGTGCTCACACCGCTTGCTGCAAACAATGCCGTGACCGACCTCGCTCCAGGTAAGCCCCGCCCTCCCAGAAAGCCGCGCCCCAGGGCCCTTTTGCCACTTCCCCAACTCGGTCGACCTAACTCTGCTCTGACTCAGCAAATCCCGCCCCGTTAAAGCTCCTCCTCTGTTTACTCCTCTTTATTCAACTACAAAGACGCCTTCCGGCAGGCAGGCACCTGCCCCTCCCTCCCCCCCCCCCCCCGACAGTCTGTCCCGACCACTTCCTTAAACCTGGGTTCCCACTACCCTTTCCCTCGCTCACCTGTCACCAGTAGCCGTGAGACTGGCTAGACCCCGAGCCAACCGTTCACAGACATCCTGCCCCTGGGCCTCCTTTGTCCATTCTGAGCGGGTTCTCAGCTTAGGGGTGCTCCCAGGTGTCATCTCCAGATTGGCACCCCCTGAGCTGGTGATTTTGTACTCCAGAGGCCCAAGCCCGCATGGTGAAGTCAGCACTGGTCTCCCAAGGCTACCCCAGGTCTGCGCTGTTCCAGTCTCTCGAGGGCGGTTCTCAGGGAAGCCGGGAACTGTTGCTGGCCCTGTCCTGGCTCCTGGCTCGAGGGCCATTGCTTGAGCAGTTGCTTGCCCAGACCCGTGTGCAGTTGGGTGATGAGTTGCCCCAGTGTGAGGTGAGTATGTAGTCTGTCTGGGTTTCTCTGCGGCCCCAAGTCACATGGTATCTGCCCTTTGGTGCAGTCTTCAGAAGGGCTCTCCCAGCTTCCTGCCTGAGGATATGTGTACAGGCTTGATAGTCCCACACCTCGCTGGTCTGGTCCTTCCTTTAAGATGAGATGGGGTGACTCTTGTTCCCTCGCTAGGGTGAGACCCTGGCCAGCCCTGGCCCTCCTGCACACCGCATGGAAACAGAGAGACCCACGGATCTCCGACTAGTGGAGTGGCTGATGGGAAAGCTGCGGTTTAGGTGGCGACGCCTCATTTCTAGTCAGCAGGAGCAATGTGCCCTCCTCAGCAAGGTAGTCCAGGCAACGGCTCTTCGTACTGGACCCGTTTACCCTGTGCCCCAGGCTGCCTTTCCCTGTGGTCTGTTTCTGTCAGCACTGTTGACTCACTGCCCTTCTGCGCTCCCCGGCTCTGGCATGTAGATTAGGTCCCACCTTTACCAGCAGAGCAGGACCATGCATGCATGCATGCATGCATTCCGTGCATCCTGGTGAGCAAGGCATGGAAGCCTTCAGTGAGATTTTCCAGTGCCCCTCTGTCCTCCTCTGCAGCCCCTCGCCCCTGCGCTACTGATCCACCCTGAGCCGAGCTCTGTCTGTCCTGGCTATAAGTGGTCTCTAAGGCGCCCAGGTCCAGCTGAGAGAGATCTGGCTGGGCAGTGGTCCCTCAGCTTTCCTGGTCACTTGTTGCAGATCCACCTGTACACCCGAGGGTGTCACAGCCAACAGAGACTTGGCCATCTTTCTGTTGCTGAAACAGAGATGCTCAGGGACCCAGAGAGCAGTAGACAGGTGAGTGTTAGCCGGGCGCAGTGGGTGGGAGCTGCCCATGGTGGGGTGTGGTCTGTTGGGGACTCCTGGGCTGCTCTTAGGCTTTGACTTCTGCGCCTCGGGGTATTTGCAAAACTCGTTGTCATTCGCTATTGTGGGTGACCAGTGTGTCCCTCAGGATTCTCCCGGTCCCACTGACGCCCAGGAAGGCAGACTAAGTATTGCCTGTGCCTGTTACCTGGCCGGGCACAGTCAAGGTTGGCAGGATGTGGTGTCCAGGAGGGGGCCGCTGCATTGGAGGAACACTGATCTCAGGTGTGAAGTGAAGATGCCAGCTCTAGCTGATGTGTCTGGAAGTGTTAGCAGGTTAGTGTGAGTGGGGACAGCTGCTCTTCAGAGCCTGGGGCTAGACTCTTCAGGGGTCTGCGTGGGGAAGTCTGCAGAGGTAGGTCAGTGTGCAAATAGACCCTGGGTATTTGTAGGCCTTGGTCCTGCTTTGTTACCCAGGGGCCATTTGGTTCTTTGCAAGCATGGCTGCCCTAGGCAATGGGCTTCTGATGTTCCCAAATAGACTTAACCCTTAGAGAGTGAAGGTCTGAAGGACAGCAGGCCATGAGACCCAGTGTTGAGGTGGCCTCAGGCAGAGGCCTGCTTTGTGAGGCTGAGAAGAGCATCATTGTTGCCAAAGAGCATCATTGTTGCCGATCCCAGATCCTCCCCCTCCCCCCCATGCTGACTTCCTCCTTGTCTGTCTAAGATCCTACCCATCTATCACTGCCTTTCTGGGGTTTACTGGTCAGGTCCAGCACTGGTCATCACTTAAGGGCTGCACTGTAGGCCATCCTGAGTGTTTGGCTGGCTGTTGGCATTGGACATGTATTGCAGCCGAGCTGGAGTTCAGGTTGGATGACCCGTTCTTCCAGGCCCGACTCCCTTCTCTCTCTGGCCCAGGACTGGACTCCTTCACTTGATCAAAAGTCTGACCTGTCTTATGGCTATGACACACTGTCTTATGGCTAGGCAGGTAGGGCTGGAGGATGGGGTGAGGGACAGATGGCTAAAACCCTGGTTTCCATGGTTTCTGTCATCTTGCTAGGTTCTTACTACAAGGTTGGTTGGCAGATTTCAGATCTGTGCTTCTGTAGTCTTTTATTGTTTTTGTTTTTGTTTTTGTTTTTTTGGAGACAGGGTTTCTCTGTGTAACAGTCCTGGCTGTTTTGGAACTCGCTTTGTAGACCAGGCTAGCCTGAATTCACTTGAGATCTGCTTGCCTTTGCCTCCCAAGTGCTGGGATTAAAGGCATGGGCCACCCACTCCCGGCTCTCTGGGGTGGTTTGTTGGGCCCTGCTGTGAACTGTGTTCACCTGGTAAGGTGTCCAGCCATTGGCGTCAGCTGGACCCGGATCCCTGGGTAAACCCTGGGCTGGGCCCAGCCTGTTAGGACCAGTGCTTGGCCTTGCGGTGCTGAGACAACATTTGAAGGTGTGTACCCTGGGCTCTGACTCCCTTTTGTTTTATCTTTTTACTTTCATTGATTCTCTGTGGATTTCACATCGTGCATTCTGACCCCACCCATCTCCCTGTCTCCTTGAATCTGCTGTCTGCCCTCGCTACCTTTCCCCCAAGTTCAAAACCAAGTTTAAAAGAAGAACAAACAAACAAAGGAAGAAGGCACTTGTCACACTTGTCACAGAAGCCGTAGTGTGGCCTGTTGAGTCTCACACACACACACTTGGTTATGAGCAGCCAGGCATGTGCTTGGTCAGTGTGGAGTCCACAGCCGGCTGTTTGCACCCTCTGTCATTGCTGCTGCAGGGGAGGAGGTTGGGGGGGGGGACGGGGGACGGACAGCTGCATCAGGAGAATGCAGGATTGAGGGCAAGGAAAAGGGGCTTATTCGCTTCTCAAACTCACACGCACACCCCACAGTCTAGGGTCACTTGGCCTCCTGGGGACTATTCCTGGAGTCTGTCTTGTCTGCCCTTGTGATGCTGTGTTTAAGTACATTGTGGCTGTGGGTAGGGTCTTTGCTCTTCGGGGTGCTGGGTGGGAGGCCTGTGGACCACCCTGTGTCGTCCCCCCCCCCCCGTGTGTCCCCTCCCCCTGATCTGGTCCCTTACACCTCTCACCACTGTCCCACCTCCCTCTATGGCTAAGGTGGCTCTGACCCCGGTGGCCTGGCCTTGGCTAGCATTCAAGGTCTCTTCCCAGTTTCTCAGGCCATGGCCCTTCCTGCATCCTCTGTGGAGGCAGGGGCAGAGGTCTTAGGTCCAGAGGGCTTGGCCTGTGCTGTCTTCTGCAAGGGTCCTCTCTCTGGGTCCCCCATTCCGGTGTCTCAAGGGTGGAGCACTTAACGTTCTGTGAGTGTTGGGCCTCTGACTAGACATGGCACCTTCAGGGCGTCCAGAGGCACCCTCAGTTTACAGAGTGCCAAGCTGTGAGTTCTGTCTTCTAGGAGGGTCAGGTGTGTTGGATGATCTGTGTTTGGAAGGGGGCCTCCAAATTAGGGTTCCCAGCCAGGAGACCAAAGGAGGGTGACAAGAAGCTAGTGGCTTCTGGCTCTAGCCAGTCAGTTGGTGTTCCTCGGGGAGGAGAGGTCAGAACATGGGGATTGCTCTTTCTCTGATGCACGGCTGTTAGTTAGTGCAGGACTAGCAGACTTTGCTCTGCTGAGGGCTGGCAGTGCTTGTCTTCTGACCTGGCCCTGCCCTTCCCTCTCATGCATGCCCCTGTTCTGTGCCCAAATCCCCAGCACCTACAAACCCTTCCTTACCTTTGGGGGTTCCCAAAGTTACTTTGGGCGGCCCATTGGGCTTCCCAGTCTTGGGCCTTCTCATTTATGCAGGCTTTGGGACAGCCTCTCGTCAGAGGAATAGTGGGCAAAACACTCTGGCCAAAGGTCCCTGCACTAGAGCTTGGCTCAGGAGGTGGTCGGGGCAGTCTGGCCCAGCTGTGTCTTTTGCTCTAGATTCTTCAGGCACTGGAGAGTGAGAACAACCGGCTGGAGGCAGCTCTGGAGTGGCGGCGCTGCGAGCTGGTCTTCTGGCAGTGGATGGTGAGGGAATCTTCCCTGCTGCCCCCACCCTCCCCGAGGCCCCAGGCTCACTGGTGGTAGAGTTCGGAAGATCCTCCCACCGTGAGGATGGAGGAGAGAGGGGGCTCTAAGGAGTCCTCTGCTCGGGACATCTGCTGGGCCTTCGCGGAGGCCTCATGTTTCTGGTTCCCAGGGGACTGGGTTTTTTTTTTTTTTGCTCCCCTGCATGCTATAGAACTGGTATCTGGGGTGTCAGGAGCCGCCCTGTCCACAGCACCACAGCAGGACCTGGGAATGCTGCCCCTGCCCCTTTGACCTCTACATCTTCTGTCCCCACTTGAAACCTGTGCTTGTCCCTGACCATCTCACTGGGGTCTCTGTAGGATACGGTTCTGGATGCCTGTTCGTCGGACAGTCCTGCTGTGACCTCACAGCCCACAGTCCTGCCCGTGATCTCTGAACGCGGGCTTGGTGAGCTGGAGTTGGTAAAGCAAGAGTTGCGGGCCCTGCAGGAGGAGCTGCGGGAAGTGGCTGAGCCCCGGCGGGCGGCATGGGAAGCCCAGGTGAGCTCCTAGGTAGCTGCTATGCCCACTCTTCCCAACCCACCCCCCAGCCCTTCCCCCCCCCAAGTCTGGACTGACTATTTTTGGGGGAGGGCTGGATAACAGTTTGACTAAGTCTCTGGATGAATCTCCTACGATTTGGATTTAATTTGCTGGTGATACACTTGGACAGCATATTCCAGCGGCAGGGGGTGGCAGGGAAGGGACCCTGCTGTCCTTCACTGCTGCCTTCAGGCCCTCCTGGGACCCCACAGAGAGGTAGGCAACCCTGTGCAGATGCCTGTCCTTGTGTTTCCATTGCATACACAGCGCTCCTCCCCGATGCTCCCCCCCCGCGCTCCTCCTCCTCCCCGGCGCTCCTCCCCCTCCCCCCCACTCCTCCTCCTCCCCGGCGCTCCTCCTCCTCCCCCCCACTCCTCCTCCTCCCCCCCACTCCTCCTCCTCCCCGGCGCTCCTCCCCCTCCCGGCGCTCCTCCTCCTCCCCGGCGCTCCTCCTCCTCCCCGACGCTCTCCCTCCTCCCCCCCCCGCACTCCTCCTCCTTTCCGGCGCTCCTCCCTCCCCCCCACTCCTCCTCCTCCCGCACTCCTCCTCCCCCCTGCACTCCTCCTCCCCGGCGCTCCTCCTCCTCCCCGGCGCTCCTCCTCCTCCCCGGCGCTCCTCCTCCTCCCCGGCACTCCTCCCCCCGCGCTCCTCCTCCTCCCCGGCGCTCCTCCTCCTGCACTCCTCCTCCCCCGGCGCTCCTCCCTCCCTCCCCCCCACTCCTCCTCCCCCCGACACTCCTCCCCCCCCCCGCGCTCCTCCTCCCGCACTCCTCCTCCTCCTCCCCCCCCCGCACTCCCTCCCTCCTCCCCCCCGCACTCCTCCTCCCCCCCCGCACTCCCCCCCCGGCGCTCCTCCTCCTCCCCGGCGCTCCTCCCCCCACTCCCTCCCACTCCCTTCTTGCCTATCAGTTCTCCCTTGGGGAAGGTTTTTAGTGTTCAGCTGCAGGCAGGCTGCCCTTAAGCTCTTCCACAGTCCCCTGGAAGGTGAGGGCGCCCTCTGTATTTCCACACTATCCACCCTAGCGAGGCCGCAGAACGCGGAGGCTGAGGGCACAGCCCATGTAGTAGAGTACCCAGGATTCAAGGTGGCTGGCTCTTTGGGGTCTTTGGAGTGGGTTAGTGCCTGGAAGACTTCATCAGTGTGGCCTTCACCCCAGGCTTGCTGCCCGCAGGGTCACTGGATGGGGTCTGTCCTAAGCATTAGAAGTAGTATCCTATGCCCACCCCTCCCCCCTCCATCAGCCCTGCTCATGTACTCCACTCCTGGATAGCAGCGGGAAGAGGATCTGTGGGACAGGGTAGTGGGGGCTGCGCTGAACCCTGGAGTAGTGGGTGTCTCCGGAATCTTCCTTTGCATCCTGAAGGGGTCTTAAGGAATGAGGTAGACTAGAAAGAAACTGCCCAGTGGTCCAGCAGCCAGCAGGTCTGAGACAGAGCCCTGGAGGTTGGGGTCCCTGTGTCCCAGCGGCTGCTGGCATGGGCTTCGGGTGCTCTGTGAGAGTGAAACATTTTCGGGCTAGCCAGGCATTTTTTAACTGGTCCCCGGGTGGCCTTGCTTTCTGTGATGGGAGTGATCCATGGGCTAATTCCTTGCCTTGGAGTTCTGGAGCTGCAGGGTTGTTGGGAGCTGGACCCACCATCCTGGGAACACAACTGCCATTGGCTCAAGCACCTGCCTGTCTTCTCTCGTGCAGGTAGGAGGCCTAGGTCGGGGGCCAGACTGGAGCACCACAAGGAAGGCCTTGCAGGAGGCTGTCGAGAGGGAGTTGGCCACCTTGCAGAGTCCCTGGGAGCCATCCAGTAACCCTGCCCAGCCCCAAAGACCCCTTCGGCTGGTGAGAAGTAAGGATGAGTCACCGGGACCCCAAGGCCTGAAGGCAGCTGAGGTGATCGGGACACTGAGGGCCCAGGAGGCCTCTCTGAAGAAAGTGTTGCACCAACTACAGAGTCAGTGTCGGCAGGAGCTGGCCAGGCTGGCTGGTGCCCTGCCTGGCTTGATTTGGATTATGGCTCCTGGTCACTGAGGGCCCCACGGTGTGTCCACCTGTGTAGGGGTCTTTGTAGGATCTCAGAAGAGCAGACTGTAGCCTGCGTGGGAGCAGAGGTCTAGGCCATGTGTTCTTTGCAGGGCTAGAGCCCTGCTGGCTGCAGTCCTGGAGTCACTGTGGGCCGGTGCTCCTGAGAGGTTTGGAGGGGGCCTACATGTGCATGGTAGAGCTGTGTCTGGGGACACCAGGCTCCAGTCCCCTTCCGCTGCCCCTTTAACGTCCTCTTCTTGGGACACGGGGATGTGTGTGGTGCGTGACTGTCACCGTGCTGGGATCACACGTGCCCCCCACAGTGCAGGCTTTATTGGGCCTCTCCTGAGTGGATCACTTCTGATTGTTTCCCTGCACATCTTTATCTTAGACTCTGGCTGTATGCCTCCTGCAGCAGAGCCTCCTCTACTAGGCCATAGATGTGCCTGACGTGCATGTGCTTGTGTGTGTGTGTTGTACGTGTGCGTGTGCTTGTGTGTGTGTGTGTGTGCTGAAGAACTGGATGGCAGCCGGGGGGCTCTGCCTGGGAGAGAGGAGGAAGGGAAGCCACATCGTGTACAGAAGGCCTTTGTTCTGAAGGCTGCTGGGCAAACTCAGGTCTCACAAAGCAGCCTGTGTCCAGGATGTGCCCACAGCCCAGGCTTCTCCCAGCCAGCGGTCTCTAGCCCTGGCTTCCTTCCTATCCCCAGTTACACACAATGACCAGACACTGGACAGGTGGTAGGTCCCACTTGGCAACCTCTAGCCTCCTGCTTACTCAGGCCTGGGGCCATTACCAGACTCTGGGCACCTTGGACCCTCTACTAGAACATTCTCTCATGGGCGTTTCCTGCTTGCCTGGTGTGGTGTGGTAAGAGTGACAGCTCATGTCTGGGGTGACAGTCCTGGTACAGGTGGCCTCTGGCCCTGAGGCCGGGCACCATGCTTGTTAGTTCCAGTGACTGTTCCTAGCACGGTTCTGGAGGACCTGTGTCTAACAAGGTCCTTCTTAACTTTGGTGATGTAACTCCTGGTGGCGCCGGAGCCTCCTGGCGGCTGCTGGGCCTCAGCTGCACCTTCTGGCCTGCAGCCCCTCCCCCCTGCCTGCTAACACTTGCTCAACTCTTCTGGCTGCCTCCACCTGTGGGTCCGGCTCCCATCGGGGCGTGGGAACGTGGCTGCCTTTGGCTCCTTAGGACTGTGTTTTGGGTTATAAACAAGTGCACTTAAGCTCCCTGCCTCTGAAAACTGCCCTGCTATAGGATTTCAAGTGGAACTTTGGAACTTGACCTTAAAAAATCTCAGTGCAGCTGGGCGGTGGTGGCACACACCTTTAATCCCAGCACTGGGAGGCAGAAGTAGGTGGACCTCTGAGTTTGAGGCCAGTCTGGTTTACAGAGAGAGAGTTGCAGGACAGCCAGGGGGGCTACATAGAGAAACTCTGTCTAGTAGGAAAAAAAAAAAAAATTCCAAACACATACCCAGTGCTGCCAGCTGTCACTTCTCCATTAGCTCTGTGGAGTTATCAGTTCCAGCCCGGATCCCGTGTGTGTGTGTGTGTGTGTGTGTGTGTGTGTGTGTGTGTGTGTGTGTCTGTGTGTCTGTGTGTCTGTGTGTCTGTGTGTCTGTGTGCATGCACTGCCTCACTGGGACTCAGGGTCAAGTTGTGGGGAGTTGTCCCTTGGGAAGGACTTCAGTACCAGCTTTTCTACACATAAGGACTTGAGGCAGCTCACATATATGGTCTCACTGTTGAGTGTCCTGAGCTCCCAGGGAGGAATAAAACCAAGTGTCAGTTAACCACAACCTCCTCAGTGGGCCCTGAGGTCCACATTGATGCTTGGTGCAGCCTAACAGATGGGCCACCTGACTGACACCAGAGGGTGACCTCACTGTCCCTAACACCCCAACCCGATCTTGAGGTCAGGAGGATCTCATGCTGACACAAGAACTAAAGCCCTGGCACATTCTAGACTGAAACCAGTGAGGACATGCCTCCCCCCCCCCCCCCCAGAAACCTGGTATGCAAAGACAAGCACCCTCTACTTGAGGCCCTGGGGAATAACCGAGGTGGTTTCCTGACCCCAAAATATGCTGACTCTGGGGGGAAGTTGGGTAATTTCAACCCTTATCAAAGCTAGGAACTTGTGTTTATTAAAAACAATGTAACAGGATGTGTCTCGTGGTGGAACCCTAGTCTGTCTCTTGTGAAACTGGATTCCATCTCCGGCTTCTGGGTTGGGGGTGTTGGTTTGGGAGACAGTTTGAGCTGGGAGTGTCAGCTGCATTTGTAAATGGTTTGGTATAGAGGTGAGAGATAGGGTATCAGTAAGGAAGAGTGCCTGACCTGAGTGTAAGACAGGAGCTGAGAATGTCTGACACTCACACCAGGATGCACCGCCTGGGGTTGGTGAAGGCCTGCTCTCAGTGGATCAGAAGAACCGCATCTGTGCCTGTCCCAGAGAATCAGTGGTATGTGCACAGAAGGCTTGTCAGGGACTGCCCAGGAGCAGGGTGCATAACCACGGGAACCAGAAACGCCCACAATGCTGTGAGAAGCCATGGATGATGTAATGCTGAGCTTGGAAACTCAGTCTTGAAGCTGGATGAGTTGTGCAGGCCTTTAGTCCCAGCACTAGGGAGGCAGAGGCAGGCAGGTCTCTGAGTTTGCCACCCTGGTCTACAGAGTGAGTTCCAAGACAGCCAGGGCTGTTTCACAGAAAAACCCTGTCTCAAATAATGTGTGTGGGGGGGGGGGGGCCATGTTTCAGTATGACATTTAACAAGACCATAAGATAAATAATAAAGCAAGGCTGGAGTTGTTCCTAGTACCTGAGTGAAGTTTCTACACCCTGATAAACCTCTCCGCTAATGCAGCAATCCAAATCAAACCCAATTGGGGAAACCCCATGTTTAATGACCTTCCAGCCCCCCCCCCCAGAGAAGAAAGGAAAGGGAGAAATCAGGAGTCTGTTCTCTTTGGGACAGTTTAAACACACTGTGGAAAGGGCCATCATTTGGGGGGCTTTCAGAGATGCAATAGGGTTTGGAGTGGATGGGGGAGGGGCTTGGATGGAACCTCCACCATAACACAGGACAAAACCCAGAAAAAGACTTGTACAGTAACCTCACAGCATTTGTGCTAGAACAAGGCGAGGTGTTCTAGGTGCTGGAAAGGTCTCTGCTGAAGACTTCTTGAACACTGATTTTATAGATTCCTAACATGTGTATTACATCTACCTTTTGGGTATATCAGCCTTGCCTTGTGAAGAAAAACCACAGCTCCAGACAGCATAGTGAAGATGTATGTAGTAGCTTTGTCTGATCACCTTGGGCAAGCAGGTCACAGCTGTGTGTACCTGTGTGGACACTGAGCAGCTTGTGTGTCCTGTCGACATCCAGCTTTGGCCAAGGAGATGGAGCTGTCGAGGTGTCCTGTGGGAGAGAAGCTCGGGGTACATAGCTGGCTTCTGTTTAATCACTGGCTCCCGTTTAATCACCGGGCCCTTGGCAATCGCTGTTAACCAGTTAGTTAGCTGGGGCTATTTTACTCCATGGGAATCAGAGGCGAATAGTTCCAGTATAAGTAACCCTTGGCTCATGAGTGCTGAAACCTGCTTGAGGCCCAAAGCCCTGGGAGCTAGAGGTGCGTGAGTCGAGGCCTCAGGAGCCAGAGACGGACAGGTCCAGCTGCTCTGCCTGCAGCAGTAGAGGAAACCCTCAGCTAGTGGTAGTGTCAGACAGGGCAAGGTAGCCCTACAGCTCCTAACCCTTGGCAGTCGAGGCCTGGTGGGCCCATCGGCCATCGCCTTTGGCCTCTGTTCTGCCGTCTTCCCTGTTGCCAAGGTTGGTAACACTGTTGCCACTGTTGGTGTTGCCAGGTCAGACTGCACTACCGAGGATACAAATCTCCAATCCATAAAAGATTGAAGGAGGAAGACTTTTGGGCCTGCTGTGGCACCAGGAGGCGTCTCAGATGTCTCCCACGTGACCCGAGAAAGCTGGGCAGCCTGGTTATATAGCCAGGTGCGGTATGGGACAGGAGGATCCTATTTACACTAATCCGCACAGCGCCCAGGTCCCCAACCTCTGGCTTTTTTTTTCTTTAAATTATTCCTCCTCATATATTACAGCCTGAACACTGTTTCCACTCTCTCTACGCCCCCCAGTGCCCCTCACCTCCCAGACCCACTTCTGTTTCCCTTCAGAAGAGAGTAGGCCTTCCAAGGATATTAACCAAATACAGCATGACAGGCTACAATAAGACTAGGCACTGTTGACTCCCCTAGGGAGGCCTTACCCCCTCTGAGGAGTGGATGGGGGAGGTGGTGGGCAGAATGGGAAGGAGGGGGAACTGGGGTTGGTACGTAAAATGAAAATTTTTTAAAATAAAAAATATTAACACCTAAATAAGTGTTATGAAATTATATTAGTATGAATGTTCTGGCTGGCCGTTGGTGGCGCACGCCTTTAATCCCAGCACTCAGGAGGGAAGCAGAGGCAGGCGGATCTCTGTGAGAACGGCTTCAGGATCTTGCCTGGGATGCTGCCTTTCAAGACAGGTGGAGTTGTGTGGAGTCGTCGGGACTGGGGCAGGGCCTCTTGGATTAGGAGTCAGTTGCAGTGGCGTATTTGTTCTCAGAGTGATGGTAAAGTGTCCCAAACAGCCAGCTATTGTGAGGCCAGTACCACCAGCTTGCAGAAAAGGGGCTGCTCGGCCGACAACCCTCTGCTGCAGGCTGCCAGTCCTTCAGGAAGGATCCTCCTGCCATCCGAAGACCTTGCTCATTTTGCAGAAAAAAAATAAAAACTTACTGGGTACTTACAATAGGGACTTACAGCTCAACCAAGAGCCAACATTCTAATCAGCTGCATTAGTTTAGCAGTGTTGACTCCCGTCTCTGTGCCCCCATGGCTAATGTGCCCTGTCCCCAAGAGTGGTCATGAGGCTTCATTTCATGCCTTGTGCCCTCCCTGCAGGTGCCTCTGAGGCTTTGTCCTGTAGGAACTCCATCCCTGTTCTTAGGTGCCCGGGGTAGGGGGGTTGGAAGCACCCTTACCCCTTGTTTGTTCGCTTATTCTCTGACCATAGTCGTCTCCCCCCTTAGTCATTTGGTCAAAAACCATGAGGTACTCTTTGATGGGGTAGGGCGGGGCCAGAGTGGAGATCCCACAGCTTTAATCCAGGAGAGAGCAGACACCATGGAAGCATGCATTGGGGCGAGTGGACTGGCGGGAGCTGGAGCGCTTGGCAGGGTGCTGGTTAGAGGGAGGCTGTGGTGTAGTAAGATCCTAACAGGAGCCTGAGCAGGGTGGGATGGATGAGCACAGTAGCATTGTTACTTGTTTGGAGAGAGGTACATTTCATGCACGAGGGGAAGGAGATGGGAAACATGGCCAGAGTATAGCAGTGCTTAGGCCTGGCCTTTACCTTGCATGGCCTCTTCTGACTTGGGAGAGGTTCTGGGGTCTAACAGAAGGGAGGTGAGGCCTGCCTGGGGAACTACATGGGTTCCGCTTGATCTAGCAACAGGGTCCAGTGTCCTGGTCATGGACGGCCCTGGTCTGAGAGTTGAGTAAGCCGAGGGTATGTGCAGCCCAACTTTGGTACCTTCACCATGCCATTTCAGGGGGTACATGGCTGTTAAGCTCTACAAATTGAATTTTGGACTAGAGCATAGGAGAGAATGCTCGTGCTGATGGGACCGCACTGGGAGTGATGAAGCCAAGATCCAAGTCCGAGGCCGGAGCCCTGGGGCTCCCACAAGCAGCCATTAGGGTAATGAGCTCACCTGAGGGGTGTCACCTGAGGTTGTCCAAGCAGGAAGTGACTGTTGTGTGAGGACAGCCGTGGGATGCTGGTGTCCTCACACTCATCCAGCAAGTCACAACCCCACAGTGCCTGGCAGTCAAGGGAGATCTTATTGATCAGAGAGGGTGTGGGCCAGACTCCTCTCCGGTGTGGTCTACCGGCAACCCTACTTCCTCTTTGTGGACCAGAGCTTTCCCTGAATCACTCTGCCCTGCATTACCTTAGGGACATTATGATGTGGTAATGGGGACAATGAATGTGGTGGGGACAACCGGCAGGCCTCTGGAGCCCTGGGATGTGAGCCAGGGAGCCAGGAACTAGATGAGTCAACGTCACCTCTCACCCACACACACCTGAGGGACACAGCAGTGATTGTTAGCTGCCCCTCCGTGGGTCCTTGCGGTTTGTTGCAGGCCTGGGGGTCTCCGAGCTTCCTCTGTTCACACAGCATTGTTCATGTGTGTCTCAGTAATTTCCTTTGATCAAAAAGAGGGCTGGGTAATGGCTCAGTGGGTAGAATGCTTGACGTACATGCATAGTGACCTGAATTCATGTAAAAAGCTGGGCATGGAGTCATATGCCTACAAAGCAGGTACTAGAGACAAGAGGACCCTAGGCACTTGCTAGCCAGCCAGTCTAGTCAGTTGGTGAGCTCCAGGGTCAGCGAGACCCTGTTTCAAAAAATAAGGTGCAGAACTAAACTAGAAGATATCTGGTATTGATTTCTGGCTTCTACGTGTGTACATGTGCACACAAAAGCACACGGACCAACAAAATATAGACAGAACTGCTCTGTTGATTTGTTGGGCCAAACAACACAGGAATTTCTCAACTGTCCTAGGAGGTCAAATGGATCTGGTGTTGTAACTCAGCTGGGAGAGTTCTTGCTTAGCATGTGTGTTCTGAGTTCTGCTCCCAGCACTTGGTAAGCTGGGTGTGGTGGCATGGGCCTGTGAACTCAGCACTCAGAAGGTGCAGGCAAGAGAGTCAGAAGCTAAGGATCATCCTTGTACTGCATAGCATGTCTTGTCTCAAAAGAATAAAAAACAATTATAGTTGGAAATAAGTGAAAGACACTACCCTTGGTTTAGTTCTTCAACAACTGCACTTTCTTACTGAAAGGGTCCTGGGTCTAACTTTCACGCTTTAATTGATTAGGCATCTCACCCAGGCTTCCTGATTTGCCTTGGCTTTTGCATGGAATTTGCTTTTTTATCACAGCAATGGCTGCCAACCCAGTTTGTTAAAGGCGTAACCAAAGGAGAGCGTGTTGGAACCCTGAGCTTTCTCAAGTTTACTCAGGACAGGAGGTATCTGACAGGCTATATATCCCTGTTACCTTCTCTTAAAACTAAAATGACTGGGGGTCTGGAGAGATAGCTTTGTGGTTAAGAGCACTGGCTGCTCTTCCAGAGTACCTGGGTTCAATTTCCAGTACCCACGTAGTAGCTTACAATTGTCTGCAAATTCAAGGGACCCAACACCATCTCACAGACATACCTGGAGGCAAAATGCCAATGCAAATAAAATAAGTAATTAAAAAAATAAAACCTAAAATAACCAAGTGTGGTGGCACATACCTTTAATCCCAGCCTCAGGAAGCTGAGGCAGGTGGATCTCTGTGAGTTCAAGTCAGCTTGGTCTACATAGTGAGTTTCAGGATAGCCAGGGCTACACAAGGAGACTCTGTTTCAAAACAACCCCCTCTCACAAATGGCTTGCGGTGTTTCCTGAGAAACCACTGTGGCACCCTCATCCCCTTCAATACACTTCAGCTTCTGTAGGTCATTGACAGGATGTTAGGTGGTCATTCTGTCTCATGCATTTCTTTGGTTGGGGAAGTTGAGAACTGTAGGGCCCTGCATGGACCCCCCAAGGCTCCTTGAGCAAGCCTGAAGCTGTTGGCTGGAACTCCTTGCCCCAAAGCTGTTACTGGTTCTCTTCCTGTTTTGATAACACACACCTCAAGTGATAACACACACCTTGTGGGGTGGAGCTGAGCCTAAAAATCCTGTTATTTTCCACTGTGCTGTAAGCGAGTATTTAAGCCCGTTTCTTCCCCTCAATAAATGGCATTCCGTGTTCCGACGTTGCCATTGAAGGAATGACCCATTGTCTCTATATTTCAATCTCTGGGCCTTCACCTGATTTGTGGAGCAGACCGTAGTGCGGGCGCTACAGAGTACAATTTCATGCACTGCTTAGTTTTCCAGTTTTTATTTTATGCATATGTATATATGTGTGTGGTACATGTGTGTGTGCATGCCTGTATGTCTGTAGGTGCATGTGTGTATGGGGTGTAGACTTGTACAGGTAGATTCATGCAATGAGGTTGGTGTTGAGTTACTCTTCATCTTATATATTGAGGAAGAATCTTGCTGACCTCAGACTTGGCCTATTTTTGGCTCGTCGGGCTAAACAGCTCGTTCCAGAGTTTCTCTGTCTCTGCTTCCCCCATGCTGGGGTTACAGGCAGGCCAGCATGCCCATCTGACTTTTATATATGTTCTGGGGACCCAAACCCAGGCCTTCATGTTTGTATCACAAACATTTTACTCACCGAGCAACCTCTGTAGCCCTGGTTCTTTTCTTCTGTAAATGACTAGTCATTGCTCCTCCTCTCTCTCTCTCTCTCTCTCTCTCTCTCTCTCTCTCTCTCTCTCTCTCTCTCTCCCCCCTCTCTCTCTCCTCTCTCTCTTGCCTTCTCTTTTCTTTTTACTAGGGTTTCTCTGTGTAGCCCCGACTGTCCTGGAACTTGCTGAGTAACCCAGGCTATCCTCAAACTCACATCTGCCTGCCTCTGCCTCCTGAGCGATGGATGGGGTTTAAGGCGTGGGCCAACACTGCCTGGCTGACTTTTTAATTCTCTTAATAGTAACTTTTGGAGAACAATGTCCCCCCCTCTTTTGGTTCTGGTGGGTGACAGAGGACCCCGATAATGCTAAAGACACTCTCTTTCACTGTCACACACACTTGCAGTTCAAGCAGAAGGTTGTAGATTTTTATGAAGTTCATTTATCAGTTTATAATTTTTTTTTTTTGAGACAGGGTTTCTCTGTATTACCTTGGAGCCTGTCCTGGAACTAGTTCTGTAGACCAGGCTGGCCTTGAGCTCTATACTCTATCTTTGTGTGTGTGTGTGTGTGTGTGTGTGTGTGTGTGTGTGTTGGAGGATGGACCCAGGACCTTGCCTGGGCTAGGCTATCTCTCTGCCCTGAGTTCTACCCCAAATCCCAGTTTACATTTGCTTTTATACCATCTCTAAGAATCTATTTATTTTTTTTTTTGCTTCATGTTGTAAGGTGTTTCTTCTTATTTTTTTCCTTCTGAAAGTTTCCTAACTTTGCATTTATATTAGGGCTTATGTACATTTTGAGTTAATTTTTGTCATCTGTAAGACACTGGCCTTGAGTCCTGAGCTCACGCTATCCACCCGCTCTAGTCCTGAGAGGCTGGAACTACAGGTATAGCCACAGTACTGACTTCCCCTTACTTATGGATGGCACCTCAAAGCTCTCTGGATTTGCTCATGTGGAGGGAGTTGCTTTGGGTCAGAAATTGTATTGATTTCTCACTGCGGCTGTAACAAATTGCTTGAAGCGGCGCTTGTGTGGTGGTAAAGGCCCAAGCCCCAGCCGGTTGGATCAGGGCTGCTGCTTTCTGAGACTGTCCTTCTAGAGAAGTCCGTGCCCCTGACCTCCCGACCCCTGGGTCTTCCTTCAGAGCGGTTGGTGTGGCCTCTTCATATCCCTCTGAACTGACCCTCCAGCATTCCCCCCTCTCTCTCTTGAAGTCTTTAAAAATATATATTTATTATCTTTTACATTCCAATCCCAGTTCCCCCTCCCTCCTCTCCTCCCACTCCCCCCCCCCCCATCTGCTCCTTGGAGAGGGTAAGGCCTCCCCTAGGAAGTCTATCAGCCTGTCTCATCTCCTTGACAGCCTTTCTCTCTTAAGGCCCTTTGTAAAGACTCTGGGCCCCCGTATGGTCCAGGGTGATGTCTCTTTCTGTGGTTCCGACCACGAACACAGCCGCAGAGTCGCTCGCCCCTTTTCCCACATCAGGTCATCTGGCCATAGGTCTGAGGGTGCTGGGACGAGACACAGGGCACTGAGGCAAGCTTGCAGATCTTAGCTGAGGGTTGGGTTAACCATGGATGAGAGGAAGTAAAGGACACCGCACAGGACTGACTCGGGCTGCCTGCCCCTCTCCTCCCACTAACCCCTCTCAGCCTAGCTTGAGTCTGCCAGGCAGGCAGCCTTGTTCCTAGGCCCAGGGCTCAGAACCGCTATCTCCTCTCTCCTTGCAGTGTGTGGCCTGACCCTGATGTCCAGCCCTCTGATCTCTGAGGCTGAGGAGATATGAATGGTTCATTGCTAGATGTAGGACCTCTTCTCCTTAGAAGGAGAGAGTGGGTTGGTTGGCCACTGGGCGGGTGCTGACAAGTACCAAGGAAACGCAGCTCCACACCTTCTCGTCCTCAGCGCTGGACAGAGAGACCCTGCAGTGCGTGGTGTTCGGCAGGGAGTGTAGGTAACCAGTAAGTCTCCGTGTGTCCTCCTCCAGCGACTGGGGAGTCCTGCTATCAGCATGTCAGGTCAGGGATGGGACTCTCAGGGAGGCCAGGACCTGGAGAGAGCTCTCCCAACTGGCCCTTCTTCTGGCAGCCCCGCAGTTTGGATTTACCCCACGGAGCATACAACTCTAAGGCTATGATCTAGGCCCTGACACGTGTCTTTGCGGGCCACTGGCCCGGAGGGGAGGTCTGGACAGAGGTAAAAACGCGGCTAGTGCTAGCAGGGCAATGAGCCCCGCCCCTGTCCGGCCACCTCTGCGGGTTTGGGTCCAGCGGCCTGCCTGCTGTAGGTGAGCAGAGATTGGAGGGCTACAGAGGGATTTCAGGGTGCGAGGGAGGCTGATGAGATCTAGCTGATGCATTTTTGCTGTGTGCTGAGGCCAAGTGGACAGGCCACGGGGTCTGGGGTGGATGCCAGGTTGTCTGGCACCTAGTGCCACCTGTCATGGGGACAGGAGCTGCGCAAAACTGTCGTCATGGCAACCCGTACTAAGCAACGGCCCTAGGACCTGGGTCCGCTCTTGGCTAGGGTCTGGGCGTCCCGGGGGGGCGCGGGGCGGGGCCTCGGCCGGAGGCGGTGCCCGCGGCGGAGGGGCGGAGCGCAGCACTGAGCGCCTGGGCCCCGCGCTGAGGCTCGGCGGGGCCGGCCGGCGCGCTGCATCTGGCCGGCCGGGTAGGCGCGGGATGCTAACGGCGGGGCAGCAGGAGGCGGGCTCCTGGGCCGACCGGGTCGGGGGAGCTGGGTGGTAGGCGGCGGCTGCAGCGGCGCGGCAGTGGTTGCCAGCTGGGCCTGTACTATCCCGCCCCCAGGCTGCAGGCCGTGGGATGGGCAGGGGCAGCTGCATGGCGGCGGAACCAGGCCCAGGCACCACTGGGGAAACCTTTAAAGGGAAAAGACAAAATGAGACGCAACCTGCTGGGAGCTGTTAGACCCTTCTCTCCGGGGTCGAGGAGGGAGGAACATTCTTTGCCTCAGCCCCTCCTTCGGAGGTACCAAGCGAGTAGGGGGTCCTTGCAAAGCTGATGGACAGGCAGGCATTTTAGAGCTTGGAGGCCCTGAATCTGTGTGTGATGTTTGAGCAGTGGACAGGCTTGGTAGGGACGGGCGTTTGGGCCTGGCTTAAGACACCCAGGGGAGGTGGACTTGGCCTTAGTCCCTGGGAACATGGCTAGGACAGAGTGTGGGGGAGGGGACGCCGGGCTTGGGTTCTGGCTTTCTGGAGGCCAGGACACTCCCAGGGGTTGGGGGGGGGGCTGTCCATTATTAGTTTAAAGCCGTTTGCTCGTGGCGTTTGGCATTTGACAGTGACTGAGCAAAGGAGTGATGGCCTGAAGATGACTGGGAGAAAGGATTAGCCATCAGAGACTCTTTGGCGTGGACGGATCGCTAAGAGCAAGGAAATTCTCAGTGTCTGGCTGTAGCCAAATGGAGTTCCCGGTGGTCAGGAGTGGGCCCAGCCTGTGCTCCTGGGAGAGGAGTGGTTACCTACCAGTGGGCGTGGAAACGGAGCGTGTACCTGAGTAGCAGCAGTGTGTGGCTCCTTGGAGTCCTGGTGTGGGCAGACGACTCCCTGAACACCCTTTAAAGCTGTGGTGTAGCTGCGAGAGCCCAAGGGGCGAATAGAGCAGCAAAAGCTGAGATGAGGAAGGGATCATGGAGTTTGAGGGTGACTGTGGCGTCACCAGGTTGAGCGCATCTTTGTCTAGACAGGACAGTAAACAGAGCCCTCATGCCAGGTGTTGAGGAGGGGAGAGGAGAGCCCTGACTGAGAGTGACTTTTGGCCGGATAGGTGAAGGCTGCCAGGATTCACAATCTGGGTACCACAGACTGCCAGCCAGTGCTAGGGACTTAGGAAGAGACAGTCCTGCCACAGCCCTGAAGGTGGAGGGAAGCCAGCAGCAGAAGCCCACCGACCGACCTGAGGGAGTGCAGGTGTGCTGGTTCAGATAGGCGATGATTCAGATTCAGCAGGAGGTGTGGTCAGGAGAACTTCTCCGGGCGATGGTTAGCAGTGCTGGGTCAGGGATGATAATGGTCTGCTTTGTCCTAGATAGCCTCAGGAAGGGGAGAGACTGAGTTGAGGGTAGAGGAAAAGGGGAGGGTGGTGGTGTAAGGCAGTCCCAGGAAGCAGGAGGGGCTTGTAGGATGGGCTTCTCAGGACTTGGATGACTGTCCATCTAGGACCGAAAAACTTGCTCAGTGCCTTGTCTCCAGGGTGGGACCTGGGTCTCCAGTTCTCCTTGTGTGCCTAGTACAGGTCAGCACCAGGAAAGGATGCCCACGACCTCCAAACAAGCGGCCTAAAGCCGCAGGTCTGGGCGTTGTGATCCAGGCTGTCAGAGCCAGGAGAGATGGAGCTGTGGGTCCAGCCGCGACAAATCACCGGGATTTTAGAATGCGGCGTGTGTGTGTGTGTGTGTGTGTGTGTGTGTGTGTGTGTGTGTGTGTGTGTGTGTGTGTGTTAATTGGGGGACCACTTCCGTTCCATTTCCTTCCTGGCGGTGGCGGGAATGAGATCGGTCCCTCAGGTGGGGCTGCAGCGCCCTCTGGAGGCCCCGTTTCCTGGCTCCGGGTCTCGGGTGCTATCAGCGGCGCGTGCGTGCGTTCAAGGAGGCTTCCTGCACCCGGCGTGGGGACAGCACCCCGCGCAGGCCTGGGGAGGCTGTGGTGCTCCCTACTAACCCCAGCCCTACCAGCTGTACAGTACAATCTGACTTGTCTCTGGTCTTTCTCAGGTTTTGAGCTCGCCGGCCAGGAGCGGCAGCGCGCTCCGGGCAGCTGGACAAACCCCGCGCCCGGCTGCGCTGCGCCATGCCGGAGGGTTGAGTGTCGCGGACGCTGCTCTGGGACACAGTCCCGCTTTGCGTGGGGACTGCGCGCGCGCCAGGGCAGAGCCCGGGCCGCTGACCATGGTGCTGCCGCCTCCGGACCGGCGCCACGTGTGCCTGACCACGCTGGTGATCATGGGCAGTATGGCAGTCATGGACGCATACCTGGTGGAGCAGAACCAGGGCCCGCGCAAGATCGGCGTGTGCATAATCGTGTTGGTAGGCGATGTGTGCTTCCTGTTGGTGCTGCGCTACGTGGCCGTGTGGGTGGGTGCCGAGGTGCGCACGGCCAAGCGTGGCTACGCTATGATCCTCTGGTTCCTCTATATCTTCGTGCTGGAGATCAAGCTGTATTTCATCTTTCAGAACTACAAGGCAGCGCGGCGTGGAGCGGCCGACCCTGTGGCTCGCAAGGCACTGACGCTGTTGCTGTCCGTGTGCGTGCCAGGCCTGTTCTTGTTGCTTGTGGCACTAGACCGCATGGAGTATGTACGCACCTTCCGAAAGCGCGAAGACCTTCGCGGCCGCCTCTTCTGGGTGGCTTTAGATCTGCTGGATCTGTTGGACATGCAGGCCAACCTCTGGGAGCCTCCGCGCACCGGGTTGCCTCTGTGGGCCGAAGGCCTCACCTTTTTCTATTGCTACATGCTGCTGCTGGTGCTGCCCTGCGTGGCGCTCAGCGAGGTCAGCATGCAAGGGGAGCACATCGCACCGCAGAAGATGATGCTGTACCCGGTGCTCAGCCTCGCCACAGTCAACGTGGTGGCTGTGCTGGCCCGTGCCGCCAACATGGCTCTCTTCCGAGATAGCCGAGTCTCAGCCATCTTCGTGGGCAAGAACGTGGTGGCGCTGGCCACAAAGGCCTGCACGTTCCTCGAGTACCGTCGCCAGGTTCGCGACTTTCCACCACCTGCGCTTGCGCTTGAGCTGCAGCCACCGCCTTCCCAGCGCAACTCGGTGCCGCCGCCTCCACCACTGCATGGTCCGCCAGTGCGCCCCCACGGGCCATCACCCACTCGTGATGCGTTGGACACGTGACAGCCCCCCCTTGCGGGCCGCACAGACGCTGGACTAGCTGCGCGCGGTTTGCATGGGATGGGATGGGGCAGGCTCCCATTAGGGACAGGTGCTGTGAGTACCTGAGCAGTGCCTGGGGTTCCGGGGCCGCGTCTGCTTCTTCATCTCAGGAATCTCTCGGACCACGGACCTTCAGCTTCCACTCCACTGGCTCACCTCGATGCACACGGCAGTTGGTGAGGCCTGGTCCCAAGTGGAGATGCCTCAACCCCCCACTGTCTGGGGGTGGGGAGGGAGGGCAGTGGTCCAGAAGATCTGGCCCTATGGTAGGAGCCTCTTGCTCAGAGTTTGGGGCCTCTGTCATTTTAAAGACTTGTGTTTACAGTTTTGTACTCAGAGCCTGACTGTTTTTTCTGTTTCACGAGTCCTCTGCCTAAGAGCTGGGCAGAGTGGCAAGGACTGGCGAGGGCTGGCACCCACGGGGTAGCCAGGTACTTCTGGAGCAAACTTCTGGGTCTCTTCTTCAGGAGGCTCTCAGAAGTTCCTGGGTGGGGTCCACTGTGGCCCCGAGTCACAGACACACTTCTCTCAGAGTCTCTGCTCTGACTGAGGTACCCTGATCTCCCCTGCCGCCAATTCCCCAATGTCCACAGTTACCCAGGCCTCATGTCCCCGCCCTTCCCACTCAGGTTCAGAAGCGTCCCCATCTCCATCCCCTTCCCGCACAAACATCCTCTGTCTGGGGATGACTTGGGCTCATGACCGTCAGTGTCAAACGGGATCAGATGGCACCTCTGTTCCCAAGTTGAAGCTGCATGCAGCCTCAGCCAGAAGAGCTGTCTGGCTTCATGTCACCCCAGCCTGGCTCTGCCCCAGATCCTGGCCAGTCCCGCAGTGCCCTGGCCCAGTGCACAGGCCTTGATGTCCTCCCCAAATCTCTGGTGACTGAATTCACCAGGTCTAGGAGGTCTCTGTGGCATCTGGGGAGGGGCCTTACCTGTAAGGGGGAGGGGCTGCATATCTTCCTGGCCTGGCGTCTGCAGTGCCATGCAGACCCATGGCTGACCAGGCCTGTGCTCACCGCATTGCCTGAGCCTCATATTGATTTACATCCTTGTGATTCCTCGTAGGAGCTCTGCTGTCCAGTCTGACCTGTTGTAGAGGGGTGTGGATCCAGGAGTGTCCATTCCCTGTGCCCATCTCTGGATGTCCCTCCCCTACCCAGAGAGCTGCTTCTCTGAGTCTGGATTTAGAGAGTCACCTGTTTTGCAAGCAGCTGTCCTAGGAGACACCCTCACTTGGTGGGGTGTGGCCAGTGCCTCTGTGGCTTCCACACATCCCCCACCTGCAGTGCCCGATGAGCACCCTGAAAGCCTTGGCCCTGGGTTCCACACCCCAGGACACTGCAACCTACTGACAAGCTGTGAGTGTGGAGGCCTATGGTACAAAATTGTGACCCTGTAGAGTACGCACGGGACTGGCTGCAGGAGCTCCTCAGTTAGTGGGCACTCTGGCTGCCGTTGGCTGTGTGTGGTCTCGGATGGGGGGCAGATGTAGGCTGTAATTCTGAGTGTCTGGGCTGTTGCCTTGCCCTTCTCATGCTGAAGCCGGGACTGCCCTATCTGTCTGGCCTCTTGTCTCAGCCATCTCATTTGCTAAAGGGCCAGGCACATCTGGCCATCCCTTTCCTAACCTCTTCCCCAGCCACCTCCCCCACCCCCCCAAGACAAGGTTTTTCTATATGACAGTCTTGGCTGTCCTGGAACTCATTCTGTAGACCAGGCTGGCCTTGAACTCACAGAGATCCGCCTGCCTCTGCCTCCTGAGTGCGGTGTGGGCCACCACTACCTGGCTCCTTCCCTAACTTCTTGAAGTGGCTTGCATGGCCAGATGTGGTGGAGAAGGGTTAGGGGTCCCTTGTGCTCACCCATTCATTCTTGGTTAATAAATCCTGGTGCTAGGCTGCTGATCTAGACCCAGCAACCTTGAGAGGGCTGGGGATGATAGGCGTCTGGGAGAGGCATTGGGCTGAGCCGGCCCTGAGGACATGGAAAGAAGTTTGGACTTGGACCCTCAAAGAGTAAGTGTCCCAGGGTTGTAAGTGCTGGGTGAGCAAAGGTAACGTGTGAGTGGGGGGAATAGCTGTAGTCATGGGACCCCGCTGAATACCCCAGGTGACGCATTGGGTAAGGAAGTTGATGACCGCAAAAGGGCAGGGGTGCATAGGCTTGGGGGCCCGTCCCCTGTGAGGTGTGGAGGGTTCTTCCAGGCTCTGGTTCTCAGCTGGGTTTGGGAGGGATGAAGTGTCAGGGTATGCTCACTGCCAGGACCCTCAAGTTGACTTTGCACCTGTTTCAGGAGGGGAGTCTGAGATTATAGGAAGCATAAGACATCATAGGTCAAAGGCTAAGCCACTCTAGACAGGTGAACCGACCAGCGAAGGAGGCCTAAGGAGGGGCATAGGAGGAGGGGTGGCTTGGCACTGGAGGGCGTGGTGGGGACGGTGCTTCTGGAAATGCCTGTGAGGGTTGGGGAGGGAAATACTCCCTGAGTGCTTGGACAAGAGTCAGGAGGGGAAGACCACATGGGCAGTCAGCTATTCAGACCAGCGGAGGATGAGAAATGGGTGTCAAGGTTGTGTCCTGGGCCGAGGTTGTCCCCAGGTGCTGTACCCCTCCAAGGGACTGACCCATGTCTGATGTCATCAACAGCATGTTCACCCTGATCATCTCCTACCAGGCAAGTCATGTGACACTTCCAACTTACGTGGCAAGGCCCACTGAAGGGTCAGAGAAGCCCCTGTTTGGATATGTTCACCACCTGTGCCCACGTCCCAGTGTGGGGCCTGCTGTGTGCTTAACTTCCACTGTCCCGGGAGTTCAGACAGGTCTTGTTCCCACAGCCCAGGTGTGGGACCCGAACTCCAGCCCTCCGCAAGAGTAGCAAGTACGTCAGCCTCCTCTTGGCTTTCCCAGCTATTCCTTTTTGAGATGAGGGTCTCATGTTGTTGCACAGATTGGCCCCAAACTCCTGGGCTCTGATGATGTTTCTCAGCAGTTCAGAATATAGGTGCCGCCTTCATGACCTACAGTTTGTTATTTATTGAGATAGGGTCTCATGTCTCCCAGGCTGGCCTTGAATTCACTATGAAGCTGAGGATGATGGCCTTGAGCTCCCAATCCTCCTGCCCAGAGCAGGGATTATAGGCATGAACTCTGTACCTATCACCATTTTGTAAAAGTGGTGTTGTGTGAAGCACAGGTTTCCTGCACGATAGGCAAACACTCTGCAGACTGAACATCTTCAGCCCCATGGGGATGGGGAAGGTAGGGCTGGTGTTTCTTCCGTTTGGCAAAGCCATAGCATAACTCTGCCTTAGCCCCTTTCTGGTGCAGGTGAGAGGGGTGTGTGCATTATGGCTCTTGGCTCTGCCTTGCTCTAGTTAGGCTTTGGTTAGGGGTTAGGGCAGGGGTGAGGACTGTGTCTGTTGTGTGCTAAGACCTCAGTGTTATCCAAGTCAGAGGAGGCAGGTTCTTGTGGGTCAGGCCAAGAGGAAGCAGAACCCTCAGGCTAGGATGTGCTGCCAGTTGGGCTGGGGGTGCTGATCTTGGGACCAGGGTTCAGTGTTTTCTCTGCCACCATGACACTGAGGCAGGCTCTCAAAGTCAAATCCCAGGCATGACCAAACATGGGAGAGTCACAAGAAGGTACAGCGGTAGTTCAGGCCTTGGGTCCGCTTGGGTCCCAAGCTAGGGCCGTCTGAGGAGAAAGGGATGCTTAGGAAAGCCCCTTCCATCTTTACTGAGTGATGGTGGGATAGGGCACAGGGGAAAGTCTGGACCGGTAACACTAAATCTTCCACTCTCAGGCACTCTCATGTTTTCTGTAGAACAGCGGTCTCAAATGTACAAAGTCGGAATTCATCAAAATCAAGGTGAAACTTTCTGTGAGCAAAGGAACTATGAGAGATACCAAGCAATGGCCCTCAGAAAAGCGATCTACTCCTTCCTCATTTAGATGGGTTACCCACCCTGCCTCCTAGGAACTCCTTTGCTAACAACCCAGGACACAGAGATGGGCTGGGGACACCCTCATGGTAAGTCACGAGTAACTTCACTTGTGAAAATGAAGAGGAATCAGTGCAAAGGACCCCTGAACCAGAGGTGGGCGAGGAGGGGTGTCACCTCTGTGGCTCAGTCTAGGAGGGGCAGGTGTGTGGGATTCTCTGGTGGCAGGCTGTATGTGGTGATGTGGTGCTGGACCCATCAAGATGCCAGGCTTTGGATGGATAGAGAAAGAGAACAGGATCATTGGAGAAGGCACAGGGCAGCGTGCAGGAGGCAGAGGCAAGGATCCTGAGGAGGACCCTCAGGACTGGCCTACGGGGCAGTCTTAGTGGGTTACTACTGCTTTAATTATACTCTGTGACCAGAGCAACTGGGAGAGAAAAGGGTTTATTAGGCTTCCACATCACTCTTCATCATTGAAGGAAGTCAGCACAGGAACTCAAACAGGGCAGGACCCTGGAGGCAGGAGCTGATGCAGGTTCCATGGAAGGGAGCTACTTACTGGCTTGCTCCTCATGGCTTGCTTTGCCTGCTTTGTTATAGAACCCAGGACTGTCAGCCCAGGGATGGCCCCGCCTTCAATGGGCTGGCTCCTCCCCCATTCATCACTAATTAAGAAAATGCCCTCAGGTTTGCCTATGGCCAGACCTTATGGAGGCATTTTCTTAAATGCCTCCATAAAACCAGTCAGCACACGGGCCCAGAAGCCCCCCCCCCTTCTGAGTGATAAGACTTCACTTTTCTTGAGATTCCTCCTGCTGTCATGGTTGACTTGAGTGGACTCTATGCTTACTTGAGCTATGATTGGCATGGTTGGCCCAGCCGAGGCGCATTCAACTCCCCACTGAGATAGAAAACTCAGGGCAACTCTATAGCTTGACATTCTGTGTCCTTCCAAAACCAGTGTTGACCCTTAAACCCAAAGTGACCTAGCTGGAGGTCACCATTGTCCTCTGATGGCCCAGGGGGAGGATGCTGCAGGTGCCATCTTGGCAGCAGAGATCAACTCCCACCACTATTGTCTCGATCTTGGACCTCCAGCTTTTAGAAACACCAGAGGTAAGCTTTCGCTGTTGGTGAGTTTCCCAGCATGGGGCATGTTGTGACAGCAGCACAAACGGACAGAGAAGAAAGCAAGAAAGCCTTTTACCTCATCCGTTGGAGTTCATTCCTCTTTGCTGCAAGTCTGGGCAGGTAGCCAGGCTGCTGCTGCTTCTGGGACCCAAGTCCCTCCTGTCTCCTTTTCCTTGGTATGAGTTATGCTTTTAGGACTTCAGCTACTCCCTTAGGTTGTAGGCAGAGAGGGGGCGGAAGAGGTTGACAGGGCCCTGGTAGGATTTCTTTGGGGGTGATGCTTGAGGGCTGGCTTTAGACACAGGCTCACACATGCCCACTCTCTTGAGTTTGGCAGATTTTCTTCACAGACAAATCTCAGAAACAGCTTAATGTAGAAGAGAGTTATTTTTGTCTCATAAGTTCAGGGCTTTTAGTCTGTAGCTG